ATCCCTCGCTTCATAGCTTTTGGCCAGGAGTTCAGCCTGTTCCTTAGGTGTCAGCAGCTCATTCCCCGACGTCAGGTGGACAGTCCTCTTCTTGTTAACGAACGTTCGGACCAGTCTCCAGAACTGGCGGTGGTCATTATGAGTCCTCCGGAGCTGGTCATGCCAGAGTGAGGTCTTCCAGTCTCGCATGAGGCTGGCTATCTGCCGGGTCATCGCATTGATGGCCGGTTTCAAGCTGTAGTCACGCGTGCGCTGAAAGATGTTCCTCAGGTTGTTCCTCTGACTGATCAGGGCGAGGATGTGACGTGGTGGTCTCCTGATGGCGTTGGGCTGCGGAGCGAACCTAGGGATGTTCAGGTTGGCTGAATCCTGGATAGTGGTGGTGATGACATCCACCGCCTCGTTTACCTCTTCTACTGTCTGGCACGGCGTTACCGCCGGTAAAGTGGATTCAACGCTAGACCTGTATCCTTTCCAGTCGGCCTTGTGGAGTAAGTATTTACTCGCCGGTGGTTTGGCGGGTGTGCCCTCGATCGTGTAGAGCACAGGCCGGTGATCCGACGGTCCATACGGAAGCGCTTGGCAATCCGTAATGATGTGCAGATCCCTGGTTAATAGCAGGTCCAGCGTTGATGTCCAATCAGGTCGGGCTGAATGCCGGAAAGTGTGTACACCTGGGTGAAAGACGGCCAACCTAGTCTTGGTAATGTACTTCCCCAGTGGATTGTCGCTACCACACAGCCAGGAAGTGTGTCGAGCATTGAAGTCCCCAAGGACTACATGCCGACCCGTCACCTGGGCATGTTGTAGCAGCAGCTTAACAGATGTCAGTCCAGCCCTGGGTCTCCTATAGACACAAGTGACTGTGAACCGACTCTTAAGTCGCACGTCAACTGTGAGTAAGTGAGTTCCCTCGGTTGGTTCCACTGGGTTCGGGACGGATCTCGAAGGTACATCTTTTCTGACCAGGATGGCTACTCCCTCTCGAGACCCTGGTGCACACACCTCTCGGTATATAGTGTACCCCTGGAAGTATGGACGAGTCGAGGTGTGAAGCATGGTGTCTGTCAACGCCACCACTGAAGGTCTATGCTGCTGAAGAAGGAGCTCGATTTCAGCCTGCTTCTGGAAGAGGCCTCTGGTGTTGAAATTCATGACGAGATGATTAATCATGATGCTTCTTCGTCATAGCATCTAGCATGCGGGCAACTATATCCATCAGCTTGTCCATTCTTGTCAGCATCGTCATCACTAGAGACGTCAGGGAGGCATCGGTACTTGTTGAAGGCTGAGGCGATTGCGTTGGTGCAGTCTGTTCCTTGAACTGGGTGGCGTGCTGGTGGTGGGGATGAGACTGGTGGTGGGGAGAGGTTCCTTCTGATTGGACCGGCGCTCCTCCGCTTGCTGTGCTGTATGCCAGGCCCTCCTGGACCCACTTACTCTGTTTGCTGGTATTCGTTTTCGTCGGTGTTCCTTTGGTGATTTCCCTAATTTTCTTCACCAACTCCTGTCTCTTCAAGCATTCTTTGGAGGAGGTGGGGTGGGCACCTTTACAGTTTTTACACCAGGGAGTTACTGTCTTCGGGCACTGTTCAAGGGTATGGACACCTCCACACCAGGGGCACGCACATGTTCGGCCACAATATTTCATAGTGTGTCCGTATTCTTGACAATTTCGGCACTGTGCTGGGACCCCATCTTCTTTAAAGATGCTCACACGAAATTTACACTGCGATATATGATAAAGTTTAGCAATGTCTGTCAGCTTGACCGAGTCGTCTGTAATTATCTGGATCAGCTCGATAGGTTTTGGTGGTTCATTCGGGTTGTATCTCTTTGTGAGTCTTCGGGCGAGTCTGAATCCTGGTAATCTGGTTTTTAACTCCTCGACTATCTCCTCGACGGGGAAATCAATATCGAATCCGTGAAGCACATATTTTCGAGATCGCTTAGTGCCTCTGGGAGCAAAACTGTGGAATTGTACCCTATTGTCCTGGCGCAACAGTAAAGTGGCTTGAAAGTGGTCATTCTCGGAGTTGACATACAGCCGAGTTTCTTTTGATGATGAATTGATAGAGAATAATATAACATTATTCTCGATCAGTATATTTTTCAGCGCTGCCTGGGCTATCGGAGGTGCTATGATGATTGGCGGCGGTCTGTTTTTCTCCGGTAGATTCACTCTCAACACGGAAAACTTGTTGGCAATTGGGATCTGGGAAGGCTTTTCCGGGACGGTACGGGCGGGAAACGTGTGTCGTTTGGCTACTGGGGCGTAGCCTTCAATATCCGATCCAAGGCCTTCGCTGTCAGTTTCGTGAATCCTCTTCCCACTTTTATCTTCGGAGGCCTCAGGCTCTGGAATCTCCATAGGAAGGTTCTCATTCTGGTTCGCCATCACGAATGAAGGAAGAAAGGAGGTCCGCTTGTCAGCGCGACGCTGCCCTCACTCGAGAGAGTAACTGCTGAGGTTTGGTCCAAGGGATAAGTATGGACCCCAACAGTATTAAAGGGCGCAAGCTTAACAAGCAGAGGAAGTTAATAGTGGTCTCACGTCACTATCAAAGATAGCAACGCCAAAAATATATAATCTGCGAGAACTTTAATTATAATGATTAATGATTAATTGTATTATAAAGCCTTAATTAAGAAGGTTAATTTTATAAGTTTGACCAATGAGATTTATCAAGCGAGAATGGAGAATTTTACGGTGCCTGAAATTTACAGTAAAAGACTGTACGCTCTTTCTATATTCGATTACCTATGTTAATCGGATTAAGATAAGACAGTTGGTGTATTTGTAATGAATAATAAAGCACACCTAAATTTGTTCTAAAAGTATTTTTATAATTTGTATTATTATTTTTTAGCTACTGGTGACATACTTAGCGGTGCAAAGGAGCGTAACTTGGTTAATAAATTCAATAATTTCTTTCTTCGGTTGAAATTTTCTTCTTACTTTAGTCAATGCCTTACCTTTAAAATAATCATCACTACACTATAAAATCTTTTCTTAAACAGAAATCTGTTGTTTATGCTAGACATCGACACGTAAACAACATTCTAACGAGGTTAAAGTTCCACAAGAAGGAAGAGTTTCAATGGTATCTACCTAATTCATCTCGATGATAAAGCCCAGTTGTCCCACAAATAAAAGACTATAGCGATCACAAAGAAACTTCATCAGTAGGCAATGACGTACTCAAGAATCTCTAGTCATGTTGCGTTCGAGAGTCCTAGGGAATGACTAAAGATATGTAGCTTGACATGCCTTACCATAGCTCCAGTATCCTTGTCTTCATCACTCATAGAAATATGGAAACTAATTGTAACCAAATCAAGAAAACACTCTTATTCTTATGATGCGTTAAAGTTCGTATGCAAGAAAAGGGCATTATTGAACCTACTAAATAATCTTGAAGAGCTTATTTAGGATGATGAAGCCCTTGTTAGGATGATGAAAATAGAATGATGATAGGCTATTCTTAGACTTTCAACAGACTTGCTCTTCTTGTCCGTTCCCACGCATAAGGAACTAGAGTATATAAGATCTCTCAATACTTACTATTTAGTAGCATTTACCTAAGAAATAATTACCATCAGACTCTTAACAAGCCGGAAGAAATGCCATTTACAGCTTTTGAGGTTAACAATCAGCTGTACCAATTCACAAGAATTTCTTTTGTGTTATAAGCTTTCTAATTTGGACATCCGCTTATCTCAGTGGCGTCACCATATGCTCATTGCTGAATTTTGAAACCTGCACGTGTACCCTATAAAAGTTATTAGTGAGACCATCTTACCATCTACAAGAAAGATGCTTGGCCTAAATTTTATTTCTGGATGATAATACATAATAAAATGAAGGAAGAATATCTTTTTACTCTAGACCACGGGTCTCCAAGTATTGAAAACTTCCTTAAGTACTACGGCCACGATTACAAGGGCCACGGCTTTTTGTTAAAAAAAGAAGAACTTGTTCTAAAAATGACTCCAGTTATGAAATGAACCTTCTAAGGGAAATAGCGCGTGCAAATAAACGTTATAGCATCCTTATGTTGAAGTAACTTACTAAGTTTTATATGTTTAAAATATTTTTTTTTTTATTTCTACCATGTAATCAACAAATCCATCGCGGACCGGAACGGAGGTACTCGAGGCCGTAGGTTGTAGACTCCTGCTCTATAGACATAAAATTTATTTTAATCTACAATATATGTTTTATTATTTAATAGAATAGAAAAATAACTAGAATAAAAATATACAACTGAAGAATAAGGTATCTTCTCCTGCCTCCATGTTTTCAAGACTAAAGTCCATTTGAACACTTGAGCTACGGTAAAAAAAAAAAGGTCCAAATGCACATCCGTCCAAAATGCACAACATTTTTAATTTTGAGTAAAGCAGGATGTTTAACGTAGATTTTCAACAGGATAATCTAATGGAAACTAGCGATCACAAACAGAGAAGGTTCAGAACAATGGTGAAACAAATAGAGCATTCTACCAGATTAAAAAATATCTGCATTGTAACATTTAGCGTGAAGGAAGCCAACCCAATAATTGGTCAATTATCTTCCCAATATCTTAAGAAAAAAAAAGAGCAAAAATGGCTCTTGGAGTAATTGAACAAAATGCCTAGTACTTTGTAATATCCTATATAGAGAATCGCAATTGGAAAACGTCCAATATTTTATCTGCCTATAGAGGAACTCAGCGTGAAAACATTATAAGAAAACGGGAGTCCCAACTTGATATAGTTTTTCTTCACTAAAAACAATGGAGAAGTATGTTGAGGAGGAGATTGTTTATGAAATACAATAAATCACTCTAAAATAGCTCTTAAAGACATAAAATAAATAAAAGCAGTTTGTATTCAAATGGTCATGTACTTCTCAAAAAAGTAAATTTTAAAGTTCAGCCATAACAGAATTTTAATTCATGATGGAGACGTTCTTTTCTTCTTGAAGATCATTTTGCTTTGGATGCATCGATAGAGGTAAAAAAGAAGTGCACTGCCCCTGTTTATCTGGGCTAAGCCTTAGTTTACAGCTGGTTCCAGACTGGAGTGTTGGGACTATTGTTTATAGTAAATAGACTTTTATACAACTCATTATTTATTTGTGACCAGTATTGGTAAAATATTTATTATTTTACTTTTTCAATTTTGAAGATAATATTTTAAATTATTTATTTATTAGGTGGGTTTCATCAATATTTAACAAGTATTTAATTTAATTTTTAATTTTGTGGTTGATGTAAGGTTTATGGTTTTATTTTTAGTTTCTTACCCTGACAAATTTTATAATTTATCGCCATGGATAGAAAGTGAGTAGTTTTCAATATATGTATGTATGTATGTAATTATTAATAGAGAATTTAAATTATTTATTTATTTCACAGGCATTGTTCTCCACTTAGAATTCCCCCAGGATTTGGTGGAAAAGTATTAAACAGGTAAGTTAAAAAGCAAATTTAATCTAGTACTGCAATTTTTTTATTTTTTTTTATTATTACCTAACATATCTCTATAAAATTATATTGCTATTTTAAATCATTCCACCCAAAATAAAAATATTTTTTTAAAGCTTCAATAACAGGTATATAGTTTTTTATTGTTTATAGTTAATTGTTATGGTTGTATGTATTTTATTTTAATTTTTAACATCATTATGAGGCAAGTATAATATTGCTTAAAAGTATTGTAACTGTTTTGTCATCCACAGTTCCAGACATTAGCATTCAGTTCCAGAAATAAGCATTTAAAAATATAAAGAATAAAAAAATATTTATGAAAGATTATCCATTATTTTTTTTTTTTGTATATAGATTTATTCAGGTTTTTTATTCTTTTTTTATTTACCTCCCATTTCTCTGTTGTCTGTGTTAATAGCTTTTTGATATTTTCATTTAATTTACACAAATGTATTAATCAAGGCAGAACTTGTTCCAAGTCTATTTATAATTTTTATATATTGTTGAAATTATAGAAAAAATAATATGTAAACAATTTGTTTGTCGAGGCTTATTAAACTTTGAAAATGGTTTTAAGGATGATTTCTTATCAGTAAATTATTATTAACAGATTTTTTAAATGAATTTTTTCCTGGTTCTTACCAATATTTAAAAGAATTTTTCATTAGTACTATTTTTAGCGGTAATTATAAAAAAAAACTTTCTGAAGTTTAATTTATGTTTATTTTCAATTCATCAATTAAATGATGTTTAATTTTCAATTAATCTCTTTCATCAAATAAAAATAATTAAGGTTGGTAGTCACTGTTCATGAGGCAGTGGAAACCATAGTTCAGCCATTCTGTTTTGGCTTGCTTGGGGTTCCACTACTTTTCATTAAGTCTCTCTCATCTTCTGAGATCTTACACTTGTGAGTCATACCTCCTAATTTTTCTTAATTAATTACCAACATATATAAAAATAAAATCTATTATATTTTTGGTACGAGCTTTTTTTAAAAAAAAAAATTGAAGTTATTTTTATTTTATTTATTTTTATTTTTTTTTTTAGTTTACTATCAACAATACAACCTATTCTATTTTTGGTACAAGCCTTTTTAAAACAATTTTAAAGTTATTTTTCTTTTATTTATTTTGTAGTTTATCATCAGCTTAAAATATATATTTGTGGGTGTTTGTATATGTATACATATATATATTTTTTTGTTAATTTACTTTGTAATTTACCATCAACAATAACATATATTATATTTTTGGTACAAGCTTTAAAAAAAAAATTATAGGTATTTTTTTATTATATTTTTTTTTACCTTTTTGTTTATAGAAGGTTTATTTTTTAATATTTTCCAGCTACAAGTTTACCATCGCTGCGAGTCTTTATCCTTGTACAATACATTCTTATATATAAGTTACAAATAATATATATTACATTTATTGGTAAAAAATAAATGAACACTACAGAAAAAATAAATAAAACAATACAATTTTGTAGGTTTCCATCCGCTTCATTGCCAGTGAATATTCCATTTCCACAAACAATGAAGTCCGCAGCATCTCGTGATATGCACAGCTTCTCTCCTGCTGTTGCTGCTTCTGCACCATCAGAAACTATACCATACGTGGATATGTTATTGTAAGTATTATGATTTTCCAAATTTTAGAATATTGTAGTAAATTAAGTATATCGTAAACATTAATGATTTTAATGTAACTATAATACTATAATATAATATAATTCTATTAGAATTATATCGTAGTGGCTACTGTTTATGTTTTAACATAAAAATCAATACTTTTCCATTCTCCTCCCCTCTCTCACTCCTTCCCCCATCTCTCCATCACCCATCACTCTCTCTCCCCTTACCACCCTCTCTTTATCTTTTTCCATATATATATATATATACACTGCAGGAGAGGTATATATTTCATATAATGTGCATACACAATTTAAAAGCACATTAAATGCGTTATATATTTATAAAATTATAAAAATAGATTGTTACAAAATATGTTGTTATACATAATATTGTACATAATTTGAAGAAAAAAAGTTAAAGATACTTAACAGAAATGGTACTCAAAATATATTACAGAAGATAAAGTAAAATAAATTAAATAATAAATAAATAACTAAAACAATAAATAAATAAATGAAACAGTAATAAGTGAATAAATCGATAATAAATATTACATTAACATGTTACTAATTTGAAGATAAAAAGCTAAAGATACTTAACAGAAATGGTATTCATAATATATTACAGAAGATAAAGTGAAATAAATTAAATAATGAATAAATAACTAAAACAATAAATAAATAAATGAAACAGTAATAAGTCAATAAATCGATAATAAATGATGCATTAACAGATGAATAAACGGCACAAAAGTTTGATCAAAAAGAAAAAAGTAAATAAATGAATAAAATAAATAGATGAGTAGATGAAAATTATATAAAGAAGAAACAAATTTTACATATCTACAAATAAATATCTACATTATGGTGAATATTTAGGATGATTCAACATATAAATAAAACGAATAAAGAAAGAAAGGTCTAAAATTATAATTATATTAAATGGAAATAGCATAATTAAAATATTTTATTTATTCATCCTCATGGGTTAATTAATTAAAATATCTATGTTCGAATGTTATGTTGTAATTCTATTCTGTTAATGAATTCTTCCTGCTGCTTCTTATATTTTATGTATATTGTATATATATATTATGTATATAAAAATTATTATTTCTTAACATATTAGAATAATATATATTATAGGAAGGAGGTGGTCCGGGGTTGCGGTCATAAAAAGGCTAAATACTGGTAAAACTATTTTATTGAAAGCCAACGTTTCGACCCAACTTTGCAGGTCTTCATCAGGGCTAGAACGGACAAGATACAAAAAGATAGAGAATTGTGGAAATTACATAATATTTAGACATAATTTATAAACAATGTGAATAAGCTTATTAGAATTATAAACAGTAAGTACAATACAATATGGACTAAGTAAGCTGAGTAACAAGATCCTAAAATAAAGTAAATAGATGCTAACAATTTTTGTAGTGTAATATATAACAAATGAAAATGTGAGTATAATTCTACAAAATCTACAGGAGAAAAAATAAGATTAGAGACTTACAGGTGTGTTCCTCTAGGAGTTTCACTTAGAACTGGAAAGGCAGCGGTAAGGATTGCAGGTATAGGGGGAGTTAACATGTGTTAACTAAGTAAAGATTGAAAAACCCAGGAATGTACAGTACCTAGGAATTTTTGAAGATATGGATGGATACAATGGAAAAATACTATATCTATAAATATTAAATTATAAATATATAAATATACATATAAAATAGAGTTGAGAAATGTGAGAGGTATTTCATGATTCTAGATCAGAGTACAATGTGAATAAACCCAAAATTGGTAAAAATTCTTATAAGTCTTATAAGGGAAAAATAACTTTAATATTCTATTCTATTATTTTCATCCACTCTCAATTTTTATTAATTAATTCATTTAATTGTTTATTATTCTAAATATTCCTTCTTTGTATGATCTCTCTTCTATTTTATTCTAAATTTACATTTACACTCTACACCAATGTATGACCACCCTATATTTTTTTTCTTTATTTATTTATTTTTTTTTCTTTTCCCTCTCTATACTTTTAAGTTAGCTCTGCAATGTATGTATGTTAATGAAGTTATTTCTATATTTACATTTTACTTTTTACCAATTTTGGGTTTATTCACATTGTACTCTGATCTAGAATCATGAAATACCTCTCACATCTCTCAACTCTATTTTATATGTATATTTATATATTTATAATTTAATATTTATAGATATAGTATTTTTCCATTGTATCCATCCATATCTTCAAAAATTCCTAGGTACTGTACATTCCTGGGTTTTTCAATCTTTACTTAGTTAACACATGTTAACTCCCCCTATACCTGCAATCCTTACCGCTGCCTTTCCAGTTCTAAGTGAAACTCCTGGAGGAACACACCTGTAAGTCTCTAATCTTATTTTTTCTCCTGTAGATTTTGTAGAATTATACTCACATTTTCATTTGTTATATATTACACTACAAAAATTGTTAGCATCTATTTACTTTATTTTAGGATCTTGTTACTCAGCTTACTTAGTCCATATTGTATTGTACTTACTGTTTATAATTCTAATAAGCTTATTCACATTGTTTATAAATTATGTCTAAATATTATGTAATTTCCACAATTCTCTATCTTTTTGTATCTTGTCCGTTCTAGCCCTGATGAAGACCTGCAAAGTCGGGTCGAAACGTTGGCTTTCAATAAAATAGTTTTACCACTATTTAGCCTTTTTATGACTGCAACCCCGGACCATCTCCTTCCTTTATAATGCAACGGTCAACCATTAAATATTTAATATATATTATTCTAATATGTTAAGAAATAATAATTTTGATTCAAGTTTTATAAAATTTTATATTTAAATAATTTATTTTGATATTGAGGGCTTAATGCTTCAATGATCGAATACTATGGGATCCAATAAATGACGTCGGTTTATTTAATCATATTTTTAAAATTGAAAACAATTTACAAAAATATAAGTTATTATATAAAAATAAAATACTGATTGTTTTTCTTGTGGTGGTTCTTATGTTCTTTTCTTGTACATTGGAAACTGAGACTATTTATGGTTTATACTGCACACATCTTGAACTGGATTTCATCATTTGATTCCGCACTGACTGAGATATAGGCAGAAGCTCTAAATTGTAATGGCTGATTTCTGGAAGCTGGTCTTCGAAAGGATGCGTCCTGTTCTGATTCTGGGCGACGAAAGGATGCGTACTGGTCTGATTCTGGGCGACGACTGGGCCTCTGAGTTTGGTCATCTCTGTCTAAACCTCTTTACTCCAATCTATTACGATTTCCAGAATTTCAAATTAATAAAATCATAAAATTTAGATGATCTGTAATTTAAAAACTTTAAAACTTATTTTTATAAACAGTTTTATTACTAACAATTTTATAAAAGTGTTTCTTAGAATTACATAATATTTTTACATACAATGTTTTAATGGTACTTATGTTAAAATTATAATAAAACAATATGTAATTGATTAATGCTAACAGTTAATAATTATATAATAGTTGTATAAAATATTTTAATAAAATTATGCTCATTTTGAATAACCTTTAAACTGATTGCTACTAACATCTAATAATTTTTATTTTTATAGATACTTATAAAATAGCCATTAGCTGCACAAAAAATGCATAAATATTAAATATATTTAAATAGAAAAGCTTAAAAAATGAATTATGCTAACATTTAATAATTTTATTTTTATACGTTTTTTAAACAAATGAGAAAACATGATAAAATAACAAAATTTCCTCAACAATAATTAATATTTAAAAAAATTAATATTAGTCTAGTCATAAAATCATCTACAATAATTAAAATATCAGATTTATACAATTTATTTATTTTCAAAATCACAAAGATAAATTAAATTTAATAAATTAATCTCAAAACTTGTATTAAATGTAATAAGCCAAAGAAATTTATATATATAATATATTATGAAATATGGAATGTTTAATAAATTATTTAAAATAAGCAAAGAATATCGACATTAGAACAATTTTAACAGATAAATTCTGCTTCCTAGAGTTTCTACATAGGCTTTTGATGTTAACAATAAAGAATTAAGACTGCAATGGATAACATACTAGTGAAATTTAAAAATAAGGTAGCAACATTCATCCACTGAAAATAACGTCAACAATGGGTTAGTCCCTTTTTGGCTTGTTGTTAATGGCAAATAATGCTAATTTAGATATATATTACATCTACAATGTCTGATAACTTAAATTAGTTTACAATCAAGAAGATAAAAAACCTTTTAAATTAAATGTTATTTGGACTTACGGGATCGAGCTTTGGGGCTCTACTAAACCATCAAATTTCTCTTGTATCCAATCCCTACAATCCAAAATCCTTCGTAAAATCCTTAATGCTCCCTACTTTGTCACAAATAAAATCATCCATAATGACCTTAATGTACCATATGTTTCCGATTTAGCTCAATCCAGATATCTGTCCTTTCATAATAAACTTCTGAACCACCCGAACCCTCTCGTTTCCAACCTTGCTTCCTCTTCTATTCCTGATAACTCTCCAAGGCGTCTGAAAGAAGATGGCCTCGGGACCTTCTAATATAGAAATATAATTGGAGTAATACCAGTGGGTAGTTTCTCTTCATGTTGTACATGCCATGTTACTTGAGCATATTTATTTGTTGTATTTATTATTAATTACAGTTATAAATTTCTTTAATAAAAAAAAAAATTAAACGTTGAAAGGTGAAAGATTTTTTATTGCAGAAAAAATTAAAAAGACTATTTAATTTCAAATATATACATTTTTATATTAATTATATTAAGTGGGAAATTTTTAAAAATATTTTCTGAGATATTTTAGTGCAGAAAAAATTAATAAGACTATTTAATTTTAAATATATACATTTGTCAGTGTCAAAATGAGTTGAATTTTTTATGTGTGTCGTTCTAGGATTAATTTGATTTCATTACTTCACACATGAACACCCACTCCGAACTATTTTAGCATACAGGTTTGATTCTATTTGATCCTCCTACTTCAGGATTAGGAAAGGCCTGATGCTCCAAACAATTTTTATGGATACTTTCAGCTTCTTCAAGCTTATACAAAGACTCTAGATGTTAGCAATAAAGAATTAAGACTGAAGTGGATGACAAAATATTGAAATTTAAACAATAAGGTAGCAATATTGGGAGGATAAAATAACGTTAACACAACGGATTAGTAGCGAGGCTTGTTATTAATTGAAAATAATGCTAATTTAAAAGTATATATATTACATTTAAAACGTCAGCAAGGTTAAGTCGGTTTACAATTAAGAAGATAAAAACAGTTTTAAATTGAAATAGTTATAATTTTTATAAAAATTTGGTTGATTCGAGGACTTTTTCACGACACATCATATCTTCATAATTTATTATTTCTGTGAATTATGAAGAGAAGAATGGTTGGGGTGATCAGTCATTATACAGATGTCAAAAATAAATAATAATATTTATTTTAACATTTGCCAACGTCTCGATCTGAAGTTCAAGCCTTCTTCAGGGCTGAGAAAAGAACCTTTGCAATATCTCAATTTTATATTTGTATTTATTTCTTATATAACTTCATATTCCTTTTCTCTGTTTTAGATTTTATTCTAAGATTCCCATTTTTAGTTCTTATTTTATCTTATTTTTATATGTTTACTTCATTAGTCCTCACTTTTTAGATGTTATTATTATTTATTTCTTAGTTCATGTTATTATTCTACCTACTTTAATGTTCACTTTAGTTATCGCTTCCTATTCAACGAAAAACATGATACTTTAAAAAACACAGAACTTGGATTTCCTACTTTTCTGGTGAAAATTGGCCCATTGCTTTTATAAACTTTTTTGCAGCCCTTGAAATCTGTTATCTCTCCTTTAGATATTTCCCTCTATTTACGGGACACCCTGTATATAAATGTTTATTTTTTTTCCGTTGTAATTATTTTTTTTTTTTTTAAGACTTTAGGCTTATTTATTCCTGGAGGAAACATCTATAGTTCTTCATCTCAAGAAATTCGGCTATTCGATGCTGAGGCTATATAATGCTGATGAAATTCATATATATTTTTTTTTTCTTCCAGAAACAGTTCTACTGAAAGAAGAAGTTTAAGCCCGAATAGAAAAATTGCTAGCTTACAAAATGGGAGGTTAGTTTTGTGCCTAAGAATTATTTATCAATATTATAATTCATATATCTTTGCTATTAATTTAGAGAATTTATGAGTTTGAAAATATATTAGTGATAAATTGGAGAATTATTCCTGATAGTTTTTAATTAATATATATATGGTTTTTTTTTAGGGTAAGAGTATTATCCTGTTCTGACTTGGAGAGTACATTAACTAGCAGATCTTATGAAGGTTCAAAGTCGTATCAGAACTTCCCGCCTCCTCCGCCGATTCCCATTTTCCATCACCTCCCATCAATTCAGGCTTGTTCGCCACCTCGGTTCTCTCATAGGACGCCAGTTCGCCATAATTTTCCGCCTTTAAATATTGGACAGCAGGCTCCTGGTATTTATTTTTGCAAATATTTGAATTTTGTTGTAAAATCAATATTTTTCATGATTTAAAGCTGTAACTTTAATACGCTTACAAGTAGAAACCCTCTTATTTATTGTAGTCGAGCAGAGACATTTTCAGTGAATTTGTATTGTACGAAAGAAAAAAAAAACAAATATTAATTTAGTGCTTATATTTGTTAAAAATTAAAATACAATAAAAAACTTAATCCAAATGTCATTTATGGATCTTTCTCACCTGATTTGTCAAACTGATGATTTTCACCTGGTTCAACTAATTTTATTAAGATAATTGGTTCATATGTATTTATTTGTATGTATAAATTAAGCTTCTAATAAATTTTAATCGGTTTGAAACTAGATGTGGTTGAAAAAATATGACTGTGAATAAAGGGAATATTACGTCCTCGAAGTAAAAGAAAATATTTAAAGGAACTGCCAGCAGACCTCAAGAGCTTCCAAAACGTACAGGTTAAAAATAATCCAATTTTCTGCTGAAAAATATGAATTTTTAGTTTTTAAGGTAGTCATGTTTTTTATTTACTAGAAAGTGATAATAAAAAATATTGAATTTTGGTTAATTTACAATCGCATCATAGAAAACAAAATTTACTTTAAATTTAAAGTAGATTTTATCTTTGTTAAAATCATTTATATGTCATTTTTACGAGGTTAACCTATATTAAGTTCTGTTTTCCATAAATCATTGATTGTTTGTGATTCTTTTTTATCGGCCTCGAACTAGACTACAATAACCAACTTCCTTCATTTAATCAGCTTTACGTTCAATTAAGTTGAGTTTTACTTTGGAATAAATTAAGAGTCAGTTAAGTCAATTAAAAGGTCATTATTGCAAATTAACATTTCTAAAAAAAAAAAAAAAAAAAAAAACCGCTGCAAATTATTTCATAATGGTTTATTATTTCCAAACAATTATACATCTAAAGTAACATTACCTTCCTAGTTACAAAGAAAAATAAATAAAAGATGATTCCAATTATTGGACTAAACTTTTTTTTTAATCATTAGTAATATGCTAAAAAAACTAGCATTACTTCAGTAACACATTCAAAAAACCAAAACAAAGGATAAAACCTTTGCAGTAGAACATACGAAAAACAAAAAAAACTAGAGACCATATCTTTGCTCCTAATTGTCTGATTGTAACGAATTTTTTTTTTTTTTTTTTTTTACGGAATTCCGTAAACTTTTAAAAAACCATTTACATATTCACAGACAAGTGTATACTTTTTGAGTTGTTCGGAATTTTTTTCGAGCTTCTTTTAGTAAGTAATATAGGTAAATTTAAAGGGCATCGAGAAAATGACTTTAGTGAAGTTTCATTGAAATCGGTAAATGCGTTTAGGCGCTACAGTCTATAGAAAGTTAGCAGGTTTTTCGGCTGCCATTTTGAAAGTAAAAGGTGGATAGTAATGTCGATGAAGGAGGATCATCCTCGGGTGAGCTCTGATTTTATATAGCTCGGACGGCGGACGGACAAAATAATTTTTATTCGTTTTTTGAATTCTAGGTATTCTGAAACGTGAAACCTCAAATTTTGAGAAGGGGTTAAGTTGTATCATCTGTGTAAGTCGCGGTCAGAATTTCGAAACTGTGTGGAATATCATGTGCGTAAATGATATATAGCAGCGGAGCGAGTACTGAACCTTGAGGTACTCCTACTAACCCTGGTTCAATAGTAGAAAGTTCTATGCCTTGGAAGGCAGAGAAAAATCTGTCAGAAACAAAAGATTAAAGGATAAGATAGTAGGTTGGAGGGAGTATCGTCTTTAGTTTGAAAAGAAGCCCCTGGTGCCAGACTCCATCGAAAACTTGAGCAACATCTTGAAATACTCCTGTTGCATGTAATTTATGCTCTACTGCTGTTGCTATGTAGTATGTCACTCAGTGTATGGTTGAATGGTATCTGTAAACCAAATTGATGTTCAGATATTTTGTTTTCGTTTGTCAGTATGTCAAGAAAATCTCTTGTAGGGAAGTTTCTCAAAGATTATTTTTATTTAAATAATTAAATATTTCTTTAGTTATCGCTTTCTAGTCAACATAAAGCACGACTTAAACCTCATCTCGACCGCTCCAGCTTAGTAAAGCTTACCAGGCTTAGGATAAACCACGGTAGAACAAATAAATATCTACATCTAATGGGTCTAGCTAAGAGCGGTCGCTACCCAACATGCCAATGCTTGGAGGATCCAAGACACATTGCCTTCAAGTGCAAAAGGCTCGAGAAGCGAAGAAGAATTAGTTTAGGATCGCAAACTACGGATGATGGAGCTAACTTTCTTCGGTCGATGAACAAAGATAACGCCTGTGACTTGATAAAGTTCATGAATGACATAAAATCAGTCATATAATAAAAGTCGCTGCTTATTCTCAGTTAATTGTAATTGTAATTCATCTCAGTTTTTAACCATTAGTCTTTCTAGTTTCCATAATATCTAATAATATAATATCTAATATCCAAGTTCCATATAAGGTACTTTCAGTGATCATCTAACTATAAATAATTAATATAAATCCAGTTTAATTTCCGTCTAAAAACCGTAATTTCATCTCACTATGACAATTAAAATATTTTACTGGCAAAGTAGGACTTGCTTTTACAAGTCTTGAAGCCAAAAAACAACAACAAAAAAAAAGCACGACTTACTTAAAATTAAATTTTCTACTTTTCTGTGGAAAAATTGGATCATTGATTTTTTGTAGCTCTTGAGCTCTGTTATCATCCTTTATTTAAGCTGTGATATATTTTTTATATTTTTCTTTTAATTATTTGTTTTTTTTCACTCATTTTTTTTTTTATATTCTAATTAAAATTTCCTTAAGGTTTCCCAATTTTTGGCATGACAGGACAATCAATCAACAGGGGGGTGCAACCTGTGGTGCGCCCGCCTCCTGGTTTCGAAGTCCCTCTGCTTAACACTCCGCCGAGCCCGCTGACTCCTCCTCAGTTCCCTTCGCCACAGCCCTGGTCCCCTGCAAGGCTTGCTCCGATGTTTCATAGGTCAATAAATTCTAATGTTAAATTGTTATACTTTTTTTTTTTTTTTTAAAGATATTCAGCTTTAAAAACACTTGAATTTAATCAGTGCTCATAAATACAAACTCATTTTATTCATTTCAGAACCGAGAGTACGGAACCAAGAATTGAACAGGATGTTAGCAAGAACCCTGGAGGAGCTAGGGTCCAGAGTACTCCTCCCATGCCTCGTGATAGCGAGAGAAATAACAAACGTAACGGATTTGGAAATCGTAAATCTAAAATGGTCTCAAAATCAAATGAGGAAGTTTGGAATGACAATCCAACAAATGATAGGTATTGTATATTATTTGTTATCTTTTTAATTTGTCCTTGTTTTAGCCGCTTATAAGTCCGCTTTGAATAACTGCACCGCCATTGCCCGGCAACCTGATAGATGACTCAATGATATAAAAATAGTCACGAGTTTGCGTCCCGGTGCCGGGGGAGTTTTTTAAATCCCCGCCCACACCCCCTGGTCCGGGAAAACCCTGTATAGCCTTAGCGGCGAGAAAGGGGAGGACCCAAAAGTCCGCTTTGAATGAATTTAGCAAGGATAAATTCTATTTTTTTTTAAAAGTAAATTTTGTCAAGTTTACAGTGAAATAATTTTTAACTACTTAAATTAAATAGTTTTCAGTTATCGCTTCCTATTCGACAAAAAAAGCCACACTTAAATCTATTTTATTCATTTCAGAACCGAGAGTACGGAACCAAGAATTGAACAGGATGTTAGCAAGAACCGTGGAGGAGCCAGGATCCAGAGTATTCCCATACCTCGTGATAGCGACAGAAATAACAAACGTACCGGATTTGGAAATCGTAAATCTAAAATGGTGTCAAAATCAAATGAGGAAGTTTGGAATGACAATCCAACAAATGATAGGTACTGTATATTATTTGTTCTCTCTTTAACGTGTCCTTGTCAAAACCATTTAAAGAGCACTTTGAGGCTCAACAAAGGTAAGTTCATTTCTTTAAAAAGTAATTAATTACACTGGCCAGCAATGAAAATGAAAATAATTGATTCAGACTAAAAAATAGTCTATGCATATGTATTTTCATCTGCTGAATTAAAAAAATAACCATAAAAATGACAGATTAGTTCTTGCTTTGGAGATAAAGTGACATTTTGTTTTTAAATATTTATTTATTCAGAAATATTACAATCTGTCTCAATTAAGGACATTTATAATAATGTTCAGAGTGCACATTCACACTCTAGTTACAATAAATAATACAGAACATATGTAAACTTTAAAACATATTTTTAAGTTTGTAAGCAAGGCAATGGCATTGTTAAAAAATCTGGTGCGCACAACACACAGCTTTCACTTACCGCTCAACTTTGAATAGAAATTATGGTACTTATTTAATAACGGGTAGTGTCCGACTGCTATCTGCCAGTGTTTATAACATTAACACTGATGAGCTCTTCGTATTCATATTTATTGTATTGTATTGATATTATTGAAATTGTGAACAAAAACAAAAACAAATGTAATAATAAAAAATACTTTTATTTTACAACATATATATTAAAATATACCAAAACATTATAAATATATAATTAAAAAACATTACGAAAACATTGCAATATATATATATCAAAATATACCAAAACATTATAAATATATAATTAAAAAACATTACGAAAACATTGCAACATATATATCAAAATAAATGAAATAATAAAAATAGGTAAAAAATTGATGAAATAATAAAAAAAAAAAAACCACTTAAACAGCATATGTACATATAAAAGAAACACTATGAAGAAACGATATGAACAAAATATGAAAAATTTTATTTTAACTTGATTTATTTTGGTAGGGAAAATAGTTTTATGGTATTTAAAATAGCAAGGAAGGGATCCGTCATGGGCACAAACTTCTCTTAAAAATTTGTTCCATGTTACGATAACTGCGTTGGATAGTTTGAGCTGCTCTTTTCCCCACTGTATTGTTGTTAAATTATGGGACCACCCATAAATGAATTTTAAAGCCGTTTAAAAAGAAATCCTCGACCCCTCTAACCACGTTCCTTTCCTTATAGAAACGGTTTTCTTACAACAATGAAAGCATCTCTATGTTATTCCTTCCCGTCGAACTTCATTTGATGACCTTCATCATAATATTTGACCTTTGCAAATATCCCGGCGTCTTGAAAATATTTGATAGCCTCTTCTTCTGAAGACGGGAATTCCCATAATGTGACAACATCCATAATTAAATAACACTAACTCACAGCTTACACAAGGAACAAAAAATAAACAAGGGAATAACTTAGGTTAGAAGAGATAAGAAGGGAGGTTATGTGAAATGAGATTAGATAGGAAGGGAGGTTAAATTAAATAAGTACCAAAATTATTTTCTGGCCATGTTGGGCTATTATAAAATTGTGTGAAAGAAGAAGTAAAATATAAAATCATTTCATGGATGTATAAAGCATATGTTCATAATCTTAAATACATTTACTGTAGTTTAGTGTTATAGATCTAATATTATATTTAAATAATTAGGTACCGATGTTTATTCCGAAAAATTGTCATGTAACTCTTTAGAAAATTAAATTAGTGAATAATTTGATGAATTTTTCCTTTGTGAAATCCCAACATTATCATATCTTCCTCTAAAGTACCTTTAATTTGGTTTATTATAAATAATAACTATTTATCATTGTTAGGAGTTATGGAAAAATGCTAAATATAACTTTTGGAAGAATTTGATAATTAAATAAAGGAGAAAAAAATAAAAATACTTATCCAGGTTGAAAATGAATCTCCGGAAATACTGGTCAGAAGGTATACGTATAATATGTCGTTGAAAAGCAGAAAATTCTAGAAAAAAAATTATCTAGTATATAACGTTGTAGAAGGTAGCGAAGAGTGGCAGAAAAAAATATAAATAACGTGTTTTCAAGGAAATTAAATGAAATTGTCTTACTAAATGTAAACTTTTAAAATTTTTTTAAGTTTCTAAAATTATTTAAAATCCACCGAATCAAGACAATGACATTGTTTAATATACTATTTCATTGTACTTGTGTGAATGAAGAAGTGAAATATAAAAATATTTCATGCATACGTTTATAACCTTAAATATATTTACTGTAGTTTAATAACACTAGATCTCATATTATATTTACATAATTAGGTATCTATCATCCGTTTATTCCGAAAAATCATCATGTAATCTTTTAGAAAATGAAATTAGTGAATAATTTGACAAATTTTTCCTTTTCGATATTCCAACAGAATCCACTTACAATCAGTGTGACTTTTGACCTGTCTATGACAGACAATGCAAGTCTCTTAATTCCATTTTAGTAAACTTTGCAATGGAAAATAACAGTTTAATAACTAATAGTCGTACAATCCATAATCAACGGATCGTACAATCCATAATCAACCGGTGATATAATAAATCGGACTTTTGTTATTTCAATAGTATTTATGATTTGTTAGCTGTCATCTTTTAGCTTTAGCTCAGTTAAAAATGCAATTCAAAAATTTTATAATAGCCCAACATGGCCAGAAAATAATTTCTGTTCAAAGTTGAGCGATAAGTGAAAGCTGTGTGTTGCGTGCACCAGATTTTTTAGCAATGTCATTGCCTTGGTTAGGTGGATTTTAAATACTTTTTTCAAACTTAAAAATATTTTTTAAAGTTTACATTTAGTTAGTAAATTTCATTTAATTTCAAATTAATAGTTCGAAGGAGATAAAAAAAAAAAAAAAAACACTATTAATTTATGATTTTTTTTTAAGAACCTAACTTAGCTTAGTTTAGCCCCACAAAAGTCTGCTTTAAATGGATTAAACAAGGATAAATTCTACTTTCATTTGATATGATTTTATTTAGTTTTTTAATGTTGTCTCTTGTTTCATTTATTCTGTTATACTAACTTGTCTTTGCTTTTGTTATAATTTTCTACTGTTTTTGAATATACATAGTATAATTGTATTTCATACATCCTAAATACTCTATGCCCTTAACTGAGGCAAAATGTATTTTTTTTTTCTCAATAAAATAAGTTAAAAAAAACATAATTCATTTGAAGTATAATTTTGTCAAGTTTACAGTGAAATAATTTTTAACTACGTAAATTAAATATTTTTCAGTTACCGCTTCCTATTCGACAAAAACATCCCACTTAAACCCATTTTATTCATTTCAGAACCGAGAGTGCAGAACCAAGAATCGAAAAGGATGTTAGCAAGAACCCTAGGGGAGCCAGAGTGCAGAGCACTCCCATACCTCATAATAGTAACAGAAATAACAATCGTATCAGTAACAGAAATAACAAACGTAATGGTAAATCTAAAATAGTGTTTAAATTAGAAGAGGAAGCTTGGTATTACAACCCAATAACTGATAGGTATCGTATATTATTTGTTATCTTTTTAATTTGTCCTTGTTTAGCTGATCAAAAGTAAGCTTTGAATGGATTTAGCAAGGATAAATTTTAATTTCATTTGACATAAATTTTGTCAAATTTACAGTGAAATAATTTTTAACTACTTAAATTAAATAGTTTTAGTTACCGCTTCCTATTTGACAAAAAACGTCTCACTTAAACCCATTTTATTCATTTCAGAACCGAGATTGCAAAACCAAGAATTGAAAAGGATGTTAGTAAGAACCCTGGAGGGTCCAGAGTGCAGAGCACTCCCATACCTCATGATAGTAACAGAGATAACAAACGTATCAGTAACAGAAATAACAAACGTATCAGTAACAGAAATAACAAACGTATCAGTAACAGAAATAACAAACGTAATGGTAAATCTAAAATAATGTTTGAATCAGATGAGGAAGCTTGGTATGACAACCCAACAAATCATAGGTATCATATATTATTTGTTATCTTTTTAATTTGTCCTTATTTAGCTGATCAAAAGTAAGCTTTGAATGGATTTAGCAAGGATAAATTCTAATTTCATTTGACGTAAATTTTGTCTAGTATAGCGTGAAATAATTTTTAACTACTTAAATTATATAGTTTTAGTTACCGCTTCCTATTCGGCAAAAAACGTCCGACTTAAACCCATTTTATTCATTTCAGAACCGAGATTGCAAAACCAAGAATTGAAAAGGATGTTAGCAAGAATCCTGGAAGTGCCAGGATCCAGAGCACACCCATACCTCATGATAATAACAAAAATAACAAACGTATCGGATTTGGAAATGGTGAATCTAAAATAATGTTTGAACCAGATGAGGAAGCTTGGTATGACAACCCACCAAATCATAGGTATCATATATTATTTGTTATCTTTTTAATTTGTCCTTATTTAGCTGATCAAAAGGAAGCTTTGAATGGATTTAGCAAGGATAAATTCTAATTTAATTTGAAGTAAATTTTGTCTAGTTTACCGTGAAATAATTTTTAACTACTTAAATTAAATAGTTTTACTTTCCTACTTATACTAGGTAAGGAAAGTATTGCAATCGGGTCAAATTTCCGACATGAGGTTTTCGACGGATCTATGCGTTTCAGAGCCTCCTGAGTCCAAAAAACACATTTTCAGCCATTGGTCTGTCTGTCTGTCTGTCTGTACCAAGATTTTCTCGGGAACTACTGAATGGATTTTGTTGCTTCTTTTTTATTTTGTAGGGTTTTGACTACTGATGGCTGTGACAGAAATTCGGTGCTCCATGCGCAATAGCTTGCATGCAATAAATGAAAAACATGTTTTTCTATAGACTGTAGCGCAAAAACGGCTCTAACGATTTTGATGAAACTTTCCTATAATGTTCTAATCATTGTTGTAATAGATAGGGCCAAACTAATTACAGACGAAATACATATTAAAGAAGTAAAAACACAAATATATGAAATTCTACTCCAAAATTGGTACCCCATCAGACTGATAAATAAATTATGGCACAAAGATAAAAGAGAAAAAAACATAGATAATTATAAAGAAATAAAGGTTCCAAACATCAATACCAATATAAAAACGTATCAAAACAAGACCAAAAATAAAAAAGCAAATCTAATCACAAACTATTTTAAAGTAGATAATACTGAAAAACATAAGCATAACAAAGAAAATCCTGATCTACAATTTCAGAATGAGAAAAATAAGAATATTAACGCAGACCCCAACCCCAAAAAATACTTTTCGGTCACTTATATTAGAGGTTTAACTGATAAAATTGAAAAAACTTTTAAAAAATATGATATAAAATTAAATCAGATTTGGGAAAAAACATATTAATAAATTAGATAAATTATATAGTAGAACTAAGGATATTATTCCAAAAGAAAAACTAACTAATATTGTTTATAAAATACGATGCGAGGATTGTGAAAATAAAGTATATTACGGACAAACCTCACAATGGTTTGAACGTAGGATACAGCAACATATACAAAATTGCAGGTCTAAAACGACAAAATCAAAATTAGCCACAGGATTATCGCAGCATACCACAAATAATGGACATAAATTTGATTTCGGTACTGCTTCCGTGTTGCATAGAGAACAAAATATTGGGAAACGTAGAATCATTGAATCTATTTTTATCACTAAAAATCTAAAACATTCTGTGAATCAACAGACAGATGTTGATAATTTAAACACGTTTTATGCTAGCACAATTGACAAAATTAATATATAACATACTGATATAAAACAGCTGATCACTAACCCCTCCACCCCACTCCTTATGTAAGTAAATCCAGTCCTGTATGAATGCCCTATTGAAGAACAATACTTTCTTGATATCGTCTGCAAATAGAGGTATATAAATCGAAAATTAAAAAATTTTAAATTAATTATAGCAGTGGGGGGCTAATGGATTTAAAATTATAAATTTAGACATAAGTAGATTTATATTTAGACACTCATTTCACTTAATAATATTTGACAGTTGACACTTGTCGCCGTTGAAGTCTGACTCCCTCTCCTTTAATTTGGGTGAAAACGTTTGTGCAAGTCTGGGAGTATTAGTACATGTCCTAATAATTTGACTACCTGTCCCAAATTCAGAACTTTTCAGAGCAAGTTAATAATGGGGGAGTGGGATAGCTCAGTGTGTAAGGCACTGATTTCTAATGCTCAAAGTCTTGGGTTCGAGCCCAGCTGATTGCCAATAACTTTTAATATTTTTTATATTTGTTTATTTAGAAATATTACATTCTGTCACATCAAGGACATTTATAATAGTGTTCAGAGAAAGCACACTCACACTCTATTTACAATAAAAAGAAAATAATACAGAAACTTAATAATAATAAATACAATAAAATAAAATAAAAATAAATACAATAAAATAAAATAAATGTATATAAACAAAAGAACTAACCTAATCATACACACTCGGGCTTGAGTGGAGGATCTGGCCATTGCCAAAACTCCAATAGATGCTTATTTACAAAAGGTCTCTGGGCCACTGCCGCTTCAACCTTCGAGGAGGATTGTAAGGATGGGTAGTGCTGGATAGAGATTGTGCAAGGGGATTTGGATGATAGGTAAGGTTCTGGTGAAATTTGGAGAATTTTTCTGGAATAAGGTCTAGGACAAATGGGATATTAAGGTCATGGTGTAGGATTTTGTTATTTACATAGAACGGAGCATCAACTATTGTTCAAAGGACTTTAGATTGAAAGGATTGAATACGTTTGATGTTAGAAGCTTTTGCTGTCCCCCACAGTTCAAGTCCGTATGTCCATATAGGTTTCAGTATTGTCTTGTAGATAAGTAATTTGTTTTCAATAGAAAGTTTGGATTTTCTGTTTAGTAGTCTGTATAGCTGGCCGTATCGTCGGTTGAGTTCTTGTCTTTTGAGTCTATTATGTGGGTTCCACGTTAGTCTTCGGTCTAAATGAAAGCCAAGATACCAGACTGTGTCTGAGTAAGGAAGCTGGATGGAATTAAAGTGTACTGGTGGACAGGAACTGCGTCGGAGTGTAAAGGTAATGTGTTGGCATTTAGATTCATTAACTTTAATGCGCCAGTTATTACACCAATGCTCAATCAAGGTGAGGTGGTTTTGGAGATTTAAGGATGCTATGTTGGGATCTGAGTCGGATGATAGAATGGCGGTGTCATCAGCAAAAGTTGCCAGGAAGGTATCGGGATGGACAGGGATATCGGCGGTAAAGAGGATGTAAAGGACGGGACCCAATACGCTACCTTGAGGAACACCTGCCTCAATTGGATAGCAATGCGAAAATTCAGTACCGCAACGAACTCGGAAGGTACGATCTGAGAGGTAAATCTAACTGATTTCTAATGCTCAAAGTCTTGGGTTCGAGCCCAGCTGATTGCCAATAACTAAATACTTTCTTTAAAATATTTCAATTTTTAAACTTTCGGTAACATTCATTGTACTTATTCTATATTATTATTATATTATAATAAACGTTGATTATTTTTGTATAAATTAATACAAATTACCTATCTTGCACCATTTCATAAAAAAATGTTATATATTTCATCCGGCAATCAATCCTTTATTTATGGGGATTTCGTTGTAATTTCTAAAAAAGAGGCAGAAAGAATATACTAATTTGATCTTAAAATATGTACCTAGTTTATAGAAGACATAAGTCTGATGTTACTTTACTATCCGTCCACTCAAGACCAGATTTATTTTTATTTAGGAGAGCATTCATAAATAGCACCCGTAACCATTATAGCCCGTCTCCTAATGATAGGTGTAAAGAACAAAATGCATGTGACCCTCAAATTCTTGACACCTTGATGTTGGTAAGGGGGCTTGCTCGACTGAGATGTGCCTTTAGGGTTTAAAATTATTTTAATAGGATATTTTTACCGGGGTTTACAGACCATGAAACAGGGCCTGGTAATAGTTACTTATTACAACTTTCTTTCTTGCTGCCTGTTGTCGTAAGTCTTGGTGGATACATTGCATCGAAGTTTAAACTTTGACAAATAAAATCTGTACGGTAGTTGTCTATTCGGTGTGGACTATTCCATCCATAGGAGTCGTACATTTTTACTTTCAATTACCTATATATGCAATATATAGTAAGGGTAATTATAATGATGTAGAGATGGTTGACCGTTGATATAATATGAGAAGGAGTTGATCGAACCCCCCCGATCAAATACTTCTCATAAGGGTAATTAATTTCACTTACCTATATATACAATATATAGTAAGGATAATTACTTTTACTTGAGAGGTTAGAATTCAATTGTTTTATCTATTTCATTGGAACTTAAACTTCAAACGTTAATTTTATTTCTAGTAAGATAGAGAAGGAATATAGTAATTTGATCTTAAAATCTTTCCCAGCGATACGAAACCCATTGTCAGTATTGCTGAAAATGATTGCATTATGTGTGAATGCTATGATGCAATGGTTAGTAATACTACATCATCATATTGCCGCCAACAGGAATATCGTAACACTGAGACATATTATATCCACTCTATGTGTAGGAGCCTTTTTTTTTTTTTTTTTTTTTAATGTTGGCTTTAAGCACGTCGACCCCTTCAAGGAGCCTTTAATCTGATGTTACTTTACTATGGGTTTGTTCCAACTAGCCCCAAATCAGTTTCTGGACAGTTAGTCCGCTGCTCTGAAAAGTTCTGAATTTGAGACAGGTAGTCAAATTCTTGGCTATATACTAGCACTATTAGGACATGTACTAATACTCCCAGACTTGCACAAACGTTCTCACCCAAATTAAAGGAGTGGGAGCCAGACTTCAACAGACTTTAACTGTCAAATATTATTAAGTGAAATGAGTGTCTAAATATAAATCTACTTATGTCTAAATTTATAATTTTAAAAATGTATATAATGTTCACATTCTAGTGTTAATCAGAATAGATAAAACAAAGAACAAGATAGAATAAAGAATTATAATGTAAAAGTAAATTAACAAAATAATAAAAAATAACATAACAAAACAATAAATGTTCAAACTGCAAATTATATTGGATTGACAAATAAGTCTTTTCGGTTTTTCAGTTTATGATACACTTCTTATCTGTCAGTTTGTGATACACTTCTTATCTTCTTTACTGGCGATTGTTTCCTTGAATTCTTCGCATTGGTCATAGGTAAGCTGGATCTGCGGGTAGTCGACAGGAACTACCGCGACCAACTGCCCTTGTGCAACCTTTGTGTAGTTTCTAGGCCTTTCTAGGCCTTTCGGTTTCTTAGCTGCTATAGCTGAGGCTCCTAGGGATTTCCTGGCTCTTTTTCCCACAGGCAGTCTTGATCTGGACCTCAACCTTTGAGGCCTCGCACTCTTAGCTGCTGGCCTACGTGGCCTCGCAAACTGGCCTCTTGGGTGTGTCTTTCTCATCCCCTGTCTGTGGTATTGTAGCTTTCCCCTCCGGCGCGGCAGCTTCGTTAGCCAGGCCTTTTGGGCCTTTGCATCCTCCACTGCCTGCCATTGAGTAGGCTCCAATTCGCTGGTTGTTTGCTCTTGATCTAAGGCCTCTCTTTCACAACTCTCCGCCTTGTCTGCCAGGCCTTTTGGGGCCCTTGCTTCCTCGGCAGAGTTCTCTAAAGGTGGCCTATTCTCTTCTTCTGGGCTTAATAGATATTGAGCCTTTGCCCTCCTCCTATTGCGCCTCTTCGCATTCCTTATCGTCCTCGACGTGGCAGGCCTCGAGTCTTTAGGCTCGTGGTCTCCGCTCTCCGTCTGGTCGAGTCCAGAATGCGGTAGGCTGCTTGCCATCATAACCATTTCTGGCTTTTTAATTTCTTCCACGTCCATATTTTCTACTGGGGCCTGCACTATTGCACTAGCCACTTCCATAAGTTCTTTCTCCTTTAATTCTGTTTGGATGTGGAGTGTTCCTACATCCTCTGTTAGGGTTTTCAGTAGTTCCCCTACCAGAGATTCATCTATCTTATCGGAGGTAACCTCTGATATGTTTAAAAGCTCCCCAGAGGACAAGTCCTCCTCGGATACTGACGATTTACTATTTTTGTTATTTTTTTTAAGTTTGGACATTTTTGTTCCCACGAGTATGGGGGTCAATAGAACCACAGATACTACCCCCTCTCCCTGCAGCCGGCTACTTAAAATGGGGTGTCGCCCGGTTCCCCAAGTGAGTCGATAAAAGACAGTATATCTTTACCCACCCTCTGCCACTCAGCCTCAGCTCGTGCGCCCTGACCTAGCTTGGGTGGCTAACAGGTTCATCAGTTCCATCACACATATATCATCCGCATACATATGAATGGAAGCAATGAACCCCGCCTCTGTCGTCCGCGAGTCCCATCGGACTCCCCGGGGGGCGCCACATGGAGGTGACAGTAGGCGTTGATAGGGATAAGGAGGTCTGGGAACTCACAAGCAGTGGGTAGGGCACTTCACTCGATCATTCCGCAAAGAGTTGGGGAGATTCCCAATCTCTCTCGAGCACCTATCTCCCTCTCTAGACCTTCCGTTACCCTACCCATTAGCCCCCCTTAACGAACGAATGATACTGAATAAACATTTTGATTCCATAGAAAGTAAACATTGGAATCTAGAATCATTTCATTGAATTAAGGATTAAGGGTTATTGTCCTCTATATTAACATTCCTAATAGAAAACAAACAAAAAGATTACCTATTTATTCATTAAAAACAATAGACCAATCCAAAGCAGAAATATTTTTAGATGAAAACATGAAAAAATCAAGTGGGTGTAATTTTTTGCCTGTCAGTGTAAATATGACATAAAGAATTCTATCCGTCAAAGATAAGATATAAAGTTTGAAGAAAATGAATGCCTTGTCAGTCATGATGCTAATAAATACCTTTTTACGAACATTCCCTTTAATGAACTATTCAAAATACTGGACAATAATTGGGAAGAAATCGAACCTCACTTGCCAATGTTAAATAAAGCTTTGTTCCTGGAAAGTATAAGGTTAGTCTGTGATAACGGATACTTTGCTTACAATGGAAATTTATTTAAAATTAGAAATACATTACCGATGGTAGTTGCTTTCTCGATAAATCGTAGTGGTATATACCTAAATAAACTGTTGGATAAAACTCTAAATAAATTTAATAAAATCCCTAAGATATTTATAAAATATGTCAATGATATCCTGACGATAGATAGATAGAAATGAAATAAAACTTTTTTTAAGCAGATTGATTAATTCATTATCCGAAAAACTAAAATTCATTCTTGGGCATTAGTATAAATAGAAGCGAAATTAATAAATTGGCATAGTAATCATAAAACACTACAAAAAATCAATACAGCTCAAAAAGTTATCGATAAGGCAGATAATTAGCAACGGTGGAAATATTTGTCAAAGAAGTAAAATCGCAAATATATGAAATTCTGCTTCAAAATTGATACTCTATAAGACTTGTAAATAAATTATGGTACATGATTTATAAGAATAAAATGGAGATAAATAAAGATAAGAATAAAAACTAAAGAAGAATTGAAATATCAATACAAATATAAAAACTAACCGAAACAAGACTAGAAATAAAACAACTAATTTAACCATAAATACTTTAAATTAGAAAATACTATAAAGCAAAAGAATAATAACTTAGGCCCTTACTACAAAAAATATTTTTCAGTAATGTATATTAGGGGATTAACCAAAAAATATAAAACACATTTAAAAATTATGATCTAGCTGAAATAAAATTTTGGAATAAAACTATTAATAAGTTAGAAAAAATGTACAGTAAATCTAAAGACAAATTGACTAATGCATTATATAAAATAGGATGCAAAAACTGTGAAAATAAAGCATACTATGAACAAACCTCACAATGGTTTGAACGTAGGATACAGCAACGCAAACAAAATTGCTGGTCAAAAACTACAAAATCAAACTAAAATAATGGACATAATTTTAATTTAAATACAGAATCAATTCTGCATAGACAACAAAATATTTAAAAAACACAGAATAGTAGAATTGATATCCTTAACAAAAAACATGTAGCAATCAGTAAACCTACAAACTAATGTAGATAACCTCAAAACCTTTTATACTAGTGCAATAGACAAAATTAAAATATAAAATGCCGAAATATGTGTATCCATCCAATAAAATAGATAAAAATATTGAATTCTAACCCCCTCCATCCCCATTGCTAAATAAAAATAAATTGAGACTTGAGTGAACAGATAGTAAAGTAACATCAGGCTTAATATCATCTACAAACTAGGTACATATTTTAAGATCAAATTACTATATCCTTCTGTCTCTTTTTTATAAATAAAATTAACATTATATTGAAGTTTTTTATATATAATTTTTAGATATCACAATGACATTCCCTGAAATGAAGGATGAATCGCCATACAAAATATGTAAAAAATCTTTATGCAATGGTTCAAGATAGGTATTTTGCATTAATTTAAACTAAAATAATCAAAATTTAATATATTATATTCTAAGTTTTAAATATAATAATAATATTATTACATAACAACTATAATTTTATTTGAGAAGGAATTGGTCGGGTGGTGCGGTCAAATGAATACAAAATTGTTAAAATAGTACTTTAATCATTACGCCGACATTTCGACCCACTTTGTAGGTCTTCATCAGGGTTAGATCAAAAGATACAAAATCTAAAAGGTACATGGTGAAAATAAAATTAATGAATTATTAGTAGATATTAAATTAGAAACAGTTGTCTGATAAAGAAATAACAAGATGACATCACAGATATAGTGTAGTTAAAATATCAAGTATTACATATATATAGAAAATACAAACAATAATAGAAAATAAGTGGGAATAAAAACAGAAAACAAAGGTGAATATAGCGTGTAAGTAAAAAATAAACAGATTGTGATAAAAGATAGTGGATAGATAGAGAATGAATAACAAACTTGTAAAGGTTACATTTGATAACTGTAGGTTAACAGATAAAAGAAAATGAGGGTTGATGAATAAAAATTTGAAAAAAAAAAAATATATGAAAGTAATGATCTAGTAAAGATAAAATAAGAATAAGATATTAGTGGATAACAAACTAGTGGAGGTTACACTTCATAAAGTAAACAGATAACAATAAGTTCTATAAAAATACCAGGTTCACTCACTCAGAGGGAAAATAGTGGGGGGGGGAGGGGAAATCGAGCTCTGACATAACCACTAGACCGATAATACCCCTCCGGTCCTTGTTTCTGGACGTTTTAAGATTATTATTTACCTTTCTATATGAAATCAATATTTTAAGGTATAATAGACTATTAATTTATTAATATTAATAAATTTAAAAAGTGAGAGAAATGTTCATTTGCTATTTTGTTTATTTTAAAACAAATAAAATGTAATTTTAGAAGTTGATGTGTTTTTTTTTTTCAGAAATGCAAAATACCATATTTTTTTTAATATTTGAAATAAATATAAGACATAATGTGAAATGATAGAACTATTTAAAAAAAAAAAAAAAGTATTTAATCCAAAAATAAAGAACTCCAAAATTTTCTTTCTACGAATGTTTGTAAATTTGACATTTTTATGTCATAAGTAATCCTAATATTAACCCCTTCCTCAAAAAAATAATAAAAGTAAAACGAAGTATCACCTATCTACCCAAACATATTGCCATTTTACTTATCTTAAAAAAAAAAATCACGGGGAGGTGGTTAATCCCCCCTTCAAAAAATATATATATTAAAACAAAGATATCATTCTCATATTCAAACATTGCCAGTATTCAAAGAGGGACACCATAAATATGGTATCGCCTATTGATTTCATACATATGTTTTAATATTGCTTAATATATCCCTTACACATGCAATTATATTAATAACTGTTTCAATATTATCGAAGGAGCTTCAATAAAAAAATTATATCAACCAGTTTGATTGACGTCAACAAGTCTATAATTAATGCCAATGTAGCCCTTAACTCGGTCAATATATTGACGAAACTCAATATTGACCAAATAAGTGGCTTTTTAGGTTTTCTTAATTGCTGTAATATAAAATATTTGTAATATATAATATATAATTATAGGAATAAAAAAAATTATCAGGATTTGCAGTAAAAATTTGTTTATTTTTTTAATTATTTATTTAAAGAAAGTTTAACTGCAAATTCTGACAATTATTTTCATCCTTATAATATTATGATATTATCATTATATGATTAACAGAAATAATCGCAATTTCTACAAACAAAATTAAACAAAAATTAAGCTACAATGTTGTTTTGTTTCTCTAAATAAGTATAGATCTTCGTTTTTTCTGTTCATGTTATATATTTGTAGATTTTTTACAGTATATGACTTTGAAATAGATAATACAAAAATAATCTTAACATCAATTTCATTCTTTTTGTTTCAGGTCTAGTCTGTAATTTTTATAGCATTTTAATCTAGATTACTAGTCATATTTATTTATCTACTTGAAATTAGAAAAGTATTCTTTTCAATAAACTAAGGGGGAAAAAAAGCATAATAATGTTGAAATAAACCTACATTGATAGGCTTGAAAGGGTAATAGGTTGGTCTGGCGATCTAGTCCTTATTTTTAACTTACACGCTATATTCACCTTTGTTTTCTGTTTTTATTCCCACTTATTTTCTATTATTGTTTGTATTTTCTATATATATATATGTAATACTTGATATTTTAACTACACTATATCTGTGATGTCATCTTGTTATTTCTTTATCAGACAACTGTTTCTAATTTAATATCTACTTATAATTCATTTATTTTATTTTCACCATGTACCTTTTATGTTTTGTATCTTTTGTAGCCCTGATGAAGACCTGTCAGGTGGGTCGAAATGTCAGCATAACAATTAAAATTCTATTTTAACAATTTAGTATTTACTTTACTGCACTGATGGACACAGGCTCCTGTCTAAGGTATTCAGTTCTTTTTGAATTTCTGACGCTATTTAAGTCCTCTGGAGCTTCCTTTGCATGCAGATGAACTTATACTCAGATTTTGACATTATTATATGTCTCCCAGATCGTTAGCGGCTCTTTTTTTGCCTAATTTCTTTCATTCTCTTCAACATTCTAATCACAGTAGTCTGAGAAACCTTAGTTTTAGGTGCAATTGGTCTAGTTGAATTGTATATAGAATATGTATAAAGGGCGGCTCTTTCCCTCCTTCAGAAGACAATATTTCCTCGGTACATTCCTTTACCAAATAATCTATAATCATCGTCCGTCCTACGCATTCAATCTCCTTCAATTCAAGTCATCTATCCACTCTCTCTTCACAAGATCTCGTCCTTCTGACCTTTATACCCCTTTCCACAAATCGGCCTCATTTCAAAACTCCTTTATTGTCCGCTCCATCACCTTTTGGAATTCCATCCCACTTAAAATCCGCCATGCACCATCCCTATCCATATTTAAAACCCTCTTATTCCAATTCCTCCTTGCAACTCAATCAGATGCTGGGTAGCCATTTATCATGTATATTATATATGTATATAATCTCGTCTATATGTAGATTTCTTTTATTTTCACCGATTATATAGGATTTGTTTACAATGTTTACAATACTGTTATTGTATTCTTTGAACACATTAACGTACATATGTAAATATTTATCCACTCTTTTATTATTATTTTTTCATTAATACAATGGTATGACAACAAAAGTAATTTGTCGTTCATTTCAAATGTCACTTAAAATTCCATAGTTTATTGTTTTTAGTAACTATTTTGCAGTATTAGGACCTTATTGCTCGTATTATGTCTTTAATATATCACTATAGTTATATAAATCCTTCTGTTATTATTTATAATTCTATTCTATGTTATTCTTAATTAAAACTTTGAAATTAATTTTTTTTAATGTGTTATGTACATAAATTTACCTTAGAATGAATCTCAGAAAATAAATGGTAAATATAATACAAATTAATTGAATCATTATTGGCTCACTCTTATTAGTTTATCTGATCAATCACAAAATAAAGTGATCCTGAAGGAATAGTAAATATTTTTAAGTCGGAAGAGGATTAGTTGGGCGTTTGTTGATGTTTACGTTTAATATGTTATATCTTGAGTTGGAATTATTTTATTAATCTTGAAGATTGTGAACTAAATAGAAGTGAGTCTAAACTTTTGACTGGTACTGTATAGATAACTAAAACGTACTTTATTTGAGCTACCTGCGGCCTAAAATCTATTAAATATCTATTAAATAAAATCTAAGTTAAATCCATTAATGTAGGTTTATATGTTGTTAAACTTTAGCCTTTCAGTTAATTATTTGTTTTTGTTTTTTAATTTTATAGTGATTGGACCATTGATAAATCTGATGAAGCAGAATGCAATTTATATAAGTTTACCTATTTTGACTCACTGGTTGATGAGATTTATTTTAAAAATCAACTAGTATGTAACATAAGGCAAGTATTGATATTAAGTAATGAAAATGAGATTTTTAAACTCAAATAATTTTTTTTTTTTTTAATTCAGAACGATAAGTACAAAGTTTAAAAACAAATCTTTTGGCGACAAATTTGAACCTTACTTATCCTCTGAGGAAGTAAAAAGTGGTTTAGCAGATAGGACCCTAATAGAGGTTAGTGAAACTTAATTTCATACATTTTTCCAGTTTTCCATTTTATATTGCTTTATAATCTGATTTTATAATTAGAACAATTTTAAGATATTATTATATATATATTTTTTTTAATTTTTAGTCCATGCTAAGAATAAACCACAAAAATAGCAATGAAGCTTACGTATCTGATTGGGTAAGATAAATTTATCAGTTAATAACTAATCAATCAAGAAATGATTTTATCTTTTAGTTATTGCAATCATTATTAAATATTGCATTTCATGTTTCCTCTACCTCATGGGTAGAAGATTTTATTAGTATTAGATCCGTATTATTAAAAAATTATTTTTAGGCTGATGGCGATCAAGATGTAGTAATCATGGGAGTTGAAGACCGCAATCGCTCATTAGATGGAGACATCGTAGTCGTTAGAGTAAAAGAAAAGAGTGATTGGGCAGTAAGTTAAAAACAATTGATTTTAAATATTTTAATTTAGAATTACTTTATTTGTTTTGTTTTTTTGCTGAAATTATACATAGATGTTTTCATGTGTTTATTGCATATCATAAGAAACTATAAATTAATTACACAGAGGAAAAATCTCTGAAGATGAATTTATCTTAAAAACATAAAAAAAAAGAAATACACCACTATTCTGCACTTATTTCTAAGATCATGTATTCATAAAAGTTTCTATCATAACACTGGGCTTAAAATCAATGTAGCTTATTAACTATTTTTATTGGATACCAAACCATTGATGACCACCTGAAGGCGATTGGAAAGGTAAAAAAAGCTTGAAAGTTGGGTTCCACACACATTAAAAGACCACCAAAAAAACGGCATTATGAAGTTTGTGCTACACTGCTTAGCTGAAATGAAAACGACCATTTTCTCTCTAGGATTGTTACTTGTGATGAAAAGTTTATAATAACATTAGACGTTCTGGACAGTGGCTCGACAAAGGAGAAGCAGCAGAACATTTTCCAAAGTCCTCAACTCATCAAAAAAAAAAAAAAAAAAAAGATGGTGGTTTCTGTTTTGTGGAATTCATTTAGTTTGATCCTCTACAGCTTCTTAAATCCTCGAGAAACCATCAATGCCGAATTGTATTATAACTAAATTAAGGCAATGCGTCAAAAATTGGCAATAATGAAGCCATCTTTGGTCAATTATAAGGGCCCCATTTTGTTTAATGATAACGCCCGGCCACATGTCTCAACAAAAACTGTTATAGCTTGGATATGAAACTCTGCTACATCAGCCCTACTCCTCGGACCTCTCGCCTACGGGTTATTATTCTTTTAGACACCTGAACTTACGTGACAAAAAAATTTAATGGACATAGGGAATTAAAAAATTTTTTTTTTTTGGAGTTTATCAATTCTAAAGATGTGAAATTATATTCCGAGGGTATGGAAAAGTTGCCAGGACGTTGGCAGAAATGTATTGATATTAGTGGAAGCTATTTAGATTAAATAAAACAGTTGTAAATCTTTGTTTTTTCTTTTTAAACCAAAATAATATATTATTTTCCGTACAACCCAATATAAGCTGCTGCCTTAATTATTATGAATCCCCTGGGTATTTCATTGTTGTTATAAACTATAAAAACACATCACTATTTCAACTGCCTATGCCGATTAGAATTTATTTGATATTTGTTATGTTCTTCCCTTAATTTATCAGCAGATAAATTAATTGAAACAGCAAATCATTACTAATTACCACCCTTATTTCATACATATATTATTAATAATAAAAATCAGAATTGAAAAATAATGGTCTCGGCTGACATTTTTAGTTAATGCTATGATCGGTGCAATTCATTGGCTGGCAAACACTGCTTCCTCCGTCCTGTGGTTCTCCTTTAAAGAGCATTCATGTATTAACCAGAAATATCAGAGTTGGTATCGTATGGATAAGACTCTTACTTTATTTATAATAATAAAGAAACTACTACATTACCTATTATTATTTACAACCCACAAAGAGTCAGGGCCTCCTGTAATGATTTCCGCCAGTCCTGTCTTCTTTGTGCTGTCACTCTCCAGTTTCTTGTTCCCAGATGGAGAGGGCGTCCAATGTTACACCATCCTGCCAGCGCAGCCGTGGGCGTCCAACTCTTCTTTTGGCTTCGATCTTCTCATCCAGGATCTTTCGAGTTGGCTCCTCTGGGCTCATCCTAGCCACTTGACCAGCCCATCAGAGCAGTCCTACCTTTATAAAACGGATGATGTCCCTATCCTTGTACATGGTCATTATTTGTTGGTTTGTTCACCTTCTCCAGGTGGGCCCCTCTGGATCATAGATTAGTCCCAAAATCCTCCTGAGCACCTTCCTTTCGAAGCGGCGCAAGTCTTACTCCAATGCCCTGGTCAGCGTTCATGCCTCAGCACCATAAGTGAGAACAGGCCTAATTAAGATTTTGTACAGTCGCAGGTTTGTTTTTTGGGAGATAACCCTGCTTTTAAGCTGCGGGACTAGTCCAAAGTAACATCTGTTGGCTGCCTGTATTCTGCGTTGCACTTCAGCCCCCACTGCATTGTCGCTTGTAATTAGAGATCCCAAGTATATAAATTCGTTCACAGTATCAAATGTGTATCTTTGAACTTGAATGGGTTCGGGTATTCTTCTTGTAGCATTATTGTTCATTTATTTAGTCTTGGACTGATTAACTTGCAGTCCAAACCGTGCGGCTGCTCTCTCAAGACTTAAGAAGGGTTCGCTCATGGCCGTAAAAGTCCTACCTATGATGTTGATATCATCAGCGTATCCAAGGAGCTGCACGGTGCGAGTGAAAATAGTTCCACCAACCTGAATTCCTGACTGCCTGCTGAATTGAGTACAATTCACAGTGCAACCTCACATTCCTATATATTCCTTCTCATTTCCTCACACAATGTCACATAAAGGAGTAAATACAGGGGGCTGTCTACGACAAGATAGCAGTCCGTAGGAACCGGCTAACTCACAAGTACCCCTCATTTGGTTAAGGCGATTAATAATCTTGATGTATTGAACAAAAAGATTCCTTGATCAAAAAAATATTGTAACATCCCTCTTATATTTTACAAATAATAATAATGTAACCTCAGAAGCTCACTTCTTACCATTGGGATATTTCCTAAATAAATAAGAGATTGTTTAATAATAAACAAAGTTATAAGAGTATTAATATATTTATCTCAGGTGTGGGTTACTGACAATCAGATCAACTCAGACAAACTATTATTATTTATACTAAAATTAAACACTGATTGATTTTAAAATAAAGTCAAATATGGATTGGCAAGCTAACCTTTTTCTATATTACATGTTTCTTCCTTTGTGACACTGACCTCATTCGCCTTCAAACACTTTCCAAAGTTCGGCCAAACAACTCTTCCAAATTGGTAACGCTATTACTGGGTTTTTCCCACTGGAGCCAGGATCACTTCTCCTATCCTCCCTTCACTGCAGTCAAACACCAACTGCTTGCCAAAACAAAAACCTTTGTCCCTCTCCTCTTTGGGATATTCCTTCTTGGGAAACTACAGAGTAGCCATTTTCTTTTCCCTGCACTAGTAGAACTAGATTAGCTTGCCTTTTAACTGTTCAACATTAATTTATTAAATCATTTTTACCCACTTCCAATAAAGGTATATATCACAATATACACTGACAGGCAAAAAATTCCACCCACTTGATTTTTTCATGTTTTCATCTAAAAATATTTCTGCTTTGGATTGGTCTATTGTTTTTAATGAATAAATAGGTAATATTTTTGTTTGTTTTCAATTAGGAATGTTAATATAGAGGAAAATAACCCTTAATCCTTAATTCAATGAAATGATTCTAGATTCCAAGATTCCAAAACGAACCATTATTATTCTAAAAGAAATTAATTACATCATCCTTTAGTAGCGCGTGTTTCCTCCTCTTGCCTTCACTACTTCTTGAAGACGCCTTTGTCTCTTTGCTGGAGGATAGCCCATTCCTCCCGAAGAGCCCTTTCAAGGTCCTGCAGTGTATCAGAAAGTGTTGTACGCCCTTTTATTTGTCTTCCGAGATTATCCCATAAATGCTCAATGGGGTTCAAATCTGGAGAACGTGCTGGCCAGGCTAAAACCTCAATATTGTTCTGTTGAAGGAACGTCTGCACTATCCGGGTGACATGTGGGTGTGCATTAGAATAGAACGATCGCCGATTTTGTTGAGGATAGGCAACACATGAGGTTCCAAAATCTCATCTACATAGTGAATGGCCGTCAAAGACCCTCCATGAACAACAACCAATTCTGTGCGGCGCTCCATTGAAATCCCAGCCCACACCATTAAGGAACCACGTTAGAAAGGTTGGCTCTGGGAAAAATTACAGGCTGCATATCTTTCGTTTCTTCTTCTCCACAACCTTTCACGCCCGTCTGGAGATAGAAGAGCGAATCTTGACTCATCTGTAAAAAGCACAGCACTCCATTCATCCATAGTCCAATGGCTGTGTTCTCAAGCAAAAGCCAGCCGTGTTACTGGCAGTAAGAGGACCAGACTCACAGAGTTCTAGTCAATTCTGGTCCTCTTACTGGACAAAAATCCATTAATCCATACTCATTTAATCTTCTCCGAGCGGTACTTTCAATAATTTGCACACCTCGAACTTCTTCGAGCTGATGAATCGCTTGAACAACCGTAAGGTGCCGGTTTCGTAAAATTCTAAGTCAAAACCGGTATATATAATAATAAGTCAAAAACCGGTCATCCCGTGGTTCTGTAACCCTAGGCCGTCCAGAACCGGGGGCCTTCTATTGTAAGAACCAGTTTCCCGAAAACGCCTGACGGCGTCTCATAAAGTTTCATATGGAACTCCGATGGCATTAGCTGCATATCTAATGGAACGTCCATCATCAATTAGTGCCACACACACCACGCGCAACATCCTCAGCACTAAGAGGCATTTTTAAACTTAATATTGAAAAAATTAAAAGCCGCAGACTAAGAAATGTGCTGCAAGAAACGGCACTGAACTAATGATACTGAATAAACATTTTGATTCCATAGAAAGTAAACATTGGAATCTAGAATCATTTCATTGAATTGAGGATTAAGGGTTATTGTCCTCTATATTAACATTCCTAATTGAAAACAAACAAAAATATTACCTATTTATTCATTAAAAACAATAGACCAATCCAAAGCAGAAATATTTTTAGATGAAAACATGAAAAAATCAAGTGGGTGGAATTTTTTGCCTGTCAGTGTATATGCATAGAAAAATTGTAAATTTTTTTATTCTTGCTGAGTGTGTGGGGTTTAGTTTGATCAGAAATTTGTATTCAATTTTGTGAGTGGAAAATTCATTTTAAGTCAGGTTCGTTTGACTGCATTTTATATATTATTTCTAAATAGTTTGCAAGTCAGTTGGGGATCACACCCGGTGAGAAAACACAAATAAAAATTTATCTTATTTTGTGCTGACGAAAAAAGATAATATGACAACTAAAAATTGTTAAATACCTATTGTAAAAATATATGATTAGAAAATTTATGTTGTTTGCCTAAAAAATAAATTTTAAGAAGTGAATACAAATTAAAATATAGTGTTGTTTGTAATAGTAATTTATGAAAATATAATGATAAATAAAATCATACAATGTAATGTCAAATAATAAATAAAAAAAATATAATTGTAAATAAATAAAATCAGATGTGTTTCTATTAATATCATTACATCTTATTATTTTCTACTTACTGCTTTATGAAATTCTTATACTTGATATTTCATTCTAACCTTATTATCATGTGCCAGTTTCTATACTTATCATCATTTATGTTTATTTAATTTTTAGTGAACATATTTTATCTTACAACAATTATCAGATCTTATTTATTTTATGTACTACTTATGTCTGTAATGTATCTATATTACTTAATATTTTTTTTTTTTTTTTTATTTTTTTTTTTTTTTTTTTTTATTGAATAATAATACAATCAGCCACTGTTGGAGGGCTATAAGTATTAAGGCTAAAAGTTCTCATTCATACAGTATATACAAGTAATACAGAAGTAACTATAAATATAAAAGTAAATATATAATACCTATAAAAAAAATGTAAATCAATAGAAAAAAAATATAAAAAAATAAAAAAAATAAATAAACAAAATAAAATAAAAACTTCTAAACACATTTATACCTATATACATTCGCCCAGGAATCTCCGAGCCAGCCTTTTCTCCCCACATGTGGAAAGCAAAGCAGGACTCCAGAGATCCCAGTGCCACTTTTCCAGCCGCATCACTAGTATTAAAAGCCAGTGGAGGCTGAAGGAGGGCACTAGAGCCACAGATGCTCAGGACTTGAGTGGAGAAGCTGGCCATTGCCAGGACTCCAGAAGCATATTTACAATAGATCTCGCGGCCACTGCCGTTTTAACCTTCGAGGGGGATTGTAGGGATGGTGGGAGCTGGATAGGGATTGAGCTAGAGGATTTGGATGATGGATAAGGTTCTGGTGAAAGTTTGAGAATCTGGATGGGATGATGTCGAGGACAAAAGGGATGTTAAGGTCATGGTGTAGGGTCTTATTTGTGACATAATATGGGGCATTGGCTATTGTTCTAAGTACTTTGGACTGGAAGGATTGGATGCGTTTGATATTCGAATGTTTAGCAGTTCCCCACAGTTCAAGTCCGTAGGTCCAGATAGGTTTCAGTATTGTCTTGTAGATTAAAAGTTTATTTTCAATCGAAAGATGAGATGTCCTGCTTAGTAGTCTATATAGCTGGCCATATCGTTGGTTAAGTTCTTGTCTTTTAAGTCTCGTATGTGGGTTCCAAGTTAGTCTTTTGTCTAGAAGGAAGCCAAGGTAACGGACTGTATCTGAGTAGGGAAGTGGTATTGAATTGAAAAGGATTGTGGGACAGGATCTGCGTCGCAGAGTGAAAGTAATATGTTTACATTTTGCTTCATTGATTTTAATGCGCCAGTCGTTGCACCACTGCTCAATCAAGGAGAGGTGAGATTGTAGGTTTTGAGATGCTATTTGAGGATCTGAGTGGGAGGATAGAATGGCAGTATCATCGGCAAATGTAGCTAGGAAGGTATCGGGATTTGGAGGGATATCGGCAGTGAAAAGGATGTAGAGAACTGGACCCAAAACACTGCCTTGTGGAACACCAGCCTCAACTGGATAGTAAGTGGAGAATTCGGTGCCGCAACGGACTTGGAAGGAACGATTTGAGAGATAGGATTTGAGGACTAGGTATAAGGATTGGGGTAAATGGGTTTTGAGCTTGAAAAGCAAGCCATCGTGCCACACCCGGTCGAAAGCTTGCGCTACGTCCAGAAAGGCACCAGTGCAATATTGCTTGTTTTCAAGTGCAGAGGATATATGGTCCACAACACGAAGGCCTTGTTGGACAGTGGAATGTCTTGAGCGGAATCCAAATTGATGAGAAGGGATGTTGTGGGATTCGAGTATGGGTAGGATGCGTTTGAGGAGGATTTTTTCAAAGATTTTTGAGAGGATAGGGAGTAAACTTATCGGTCTGTAGGATGATGTGTTATTAACGGGTTTGCCTGGTTTTGGAAACAGCACGATTATGGAGTGTTTCCACATCAAGGGAAAGTTGGTAGTACGAAGGATGCAATTATATAGATAGGTCAGGAATATAATTGATTTTTTGGGAAGTTGTCTAAGGATTTGTGAAGTGAGGAGATCATATCCAGGGGATTTTCGGGGTTTTAATTTGTTTATGAGGAATTTGACCTCAGAGGGGTTAACAGGTTTTGGAGGTAGAGAGAGAGGAATTGGTGAAGAGAGGAATTCTTTAACTTCAGCAGTGTGGGTGGGATGGAGTTCGGGATGGGGAGTGAATGTGTAGGATAGATGTTTAGCAAACTCTTCAGCTCTATTCGCATCTGACGAAGCCCAGGAACCATCATCACGGCGGAGGGGGTGGGAAATGGATTGGACTTTAAGGATTTTTTTAGTTACAGTCCAGAGGGAGTTATCACTAGATGTTAATGAGGAAAGGTAGGAATTGTAGGATTGGGTTCTAAAGATATCCAGTTTCTTTTTTACCTGTTTGGAATAATAGTTATACGATTTCCGGTCATCAGGATGCCTGGTTCTTTGCCAGAGGGCCCTAGAGCATCGTTTGCTATGGATACGGTCCAATAGGTCTTGGGGTAGAGGATTTATACTGAGGTGTTTTTTGGGACGATCAGGTGAGGATGCAGTCCAAACTGCTTGCTGGATCAGCTTAGTAAAGGAGTCCACTGCATCGTCAAGGTCTTCAGGTGTTTTTAAGGAAACTCTGAGGTCTATATTATCATCCAATATTTGACGGAAAAGGTTCCAGTTAACTGGTCCCCTGATAAATGAAGGAGAGGATGATTTAGGAATGGGTGATGTGGAAGCGGTTAGGACTATAGGACTGTGGTCTGAGGAAAGATCATCAAGCCTTGAAATGGAACAGTGTAATGATCCTAGACCTTTGTGTAGGAAAAAGTCTAGAAGGTCGGGATTGCGGTTGGGATCTGTTGGCCAGTATGTGGGAGTATTAGGTGAAAGGATGTTGCTGCGATGGGAATTAAGTGCAGATAGCAGTGTTCGCCCTCGGGAATTTGTGGATCTGGCTCCCCATTGTTGGTGTTTTGCATTTAAATCTGCACCTAGGATGAAATGGTGTCCTAAGGAATTCAGGAAGGAAATTATTTGGGATTCGGAAATGGGTATTTTAGGCGGGGAATATGCCGCAACTAATGTTATTGGGTAAAGGGAAGTTTGGATTATTACAGCAGTGGATTGTAGGAAATTATGGGTTGGTAAGGGAAATAAATGATGGGAGAGAGATCGGTGGATAATTATAGCAGTGCCAGCATGTGCTGTTCCATATTACTTAATATTAGATATCATTTCTTTATCATTTAATTGTTTATTACTTTGTCATCATTATTTTAAAACTTCCATTCGATAGTTAACAATGTTATTTTTTATTACACACTTATGCTAATCTAATTTTATTACAGACATATATATAGTTTTTCACAAGTATTGTAAAAAACTGGAAACTTGAAATAGTTCATTACGCTATTATATTAAATTTAAAAAATGTACTACTTACCATTATATTTTACTTATATTCTCATACTGTACCATTGCATACAATACTCCTATATCTTAATTTTTATTCACTTCATAGAATTTATTTATTAGCAGATACGTACATTTTGTTCTCATATTTTGCTAACAAAATTTAGTTTGTATCTTCTCTTTTCTCAGCCCTAATGAAGGACTGAAAAATTTAGGCCGAAACTTCAGCACAAAATAAAATATTTTTTTGTGTTTTTTCACTGACTGGAACCGCAAACTAAAACTTCTCCACCATATATTGTCTACAGTCAAATGGTTCTTCCCCATTATTTCTAAATAATGAGTTAATATTATCCTAGAGAGCAGGGTAACTTAGTGGGTAAACACTGACTTCCAGAGCTCAAGGTTCCAGATTTGAGTCGTGAACGACCCTAGGGTTGGGAGAACCTTCTGTGGCACACCCAGGCTCTATTTTAAGTTGGTACTCTTAATTAGATGATTAATTAAAGAGGAAACCTGGCAGTTAAGCGTGATCTCGGTCCAATCACCTCCCTGCACAACCGTTTGCCTTGTAACAGTACTTTCCCTAAATGAATCGGTGAATGCAGAAACCACTTCAGTCACTAATTTCAAATTTGTCAGGAGAGAGAAAAAACATCATAGCTCCTCCAAATTTTCAAATATTTGAACTTTTATTTCCCCTGGCATAACATGCATCTATGTTGTCATGCAAAAATTACCTAATTTCGACATAAATTAGGCTTAGGAAAATTTAAAATTTGATTCGGACTTATGCTGTTTCTGCACTCAACTGTTTTTTACAGACAGCTGAAAACTTGGAAAAATGTTACCATTCATTAAAAGTTTATATTTTTTAATTAACAATTTATTTTATAACAATTTATATTAATTTCAATTTATTTTACAATTTAATTTTCATCAATTTAATGGATCCAACAAAAAAAAAAAAAAAAAAAGAAAGGCTTGGAATTTATATTACGTACACACATTACGAGTTATAATTACATAACATATTGTAAAACGAGGAATATGTAATATAATATAAATGGTATTCGTATTTATATTTTGAATATAAATATACCCATCTCTGCTGGTCATGCGATCCAGCATTGGGTGCAGAAACCATGTCAGTCATTGACTCATGTTATTTCTGCGCCCAACGATAGAAAAAGATGTCTTGTGTTTAGGGAACTATTCAATAGATGCATCTTTCCGTTCTAAGCTTGTTTTCATATAAAACGATTTTTCAAATTTTTTGTATGGTTTCTGCACTGAATAAAATTCTCGTTTAAGAATATTGTACTTTTTAAATTTCTACTATGTTCATATTAAAGTTGATTATTTCCTATTTACAGAAATTGAAAAGAGGAGGAAAGCTCGTCCCTCATAAGACAGGCCAGGTAAGTTGCAAATTTCTTTAATTTTGTTATGTTTTTAAATTATATTTGTTTTCAAATGTAACAAAACTCTTCTTTGACTTTGCCTAAAGAAAAATTTATAAATCCTCAGTTTAAGGTATTATAATAAAGGTTTTAGTGAAACTCTAGGTTCGATACTGATACCTCTAGTGGCAACGTACTTCCTTCCACCAATCACTATCCTACAATTTTAAATGGCAATTTTATTCGCTGCAAAGCTATTATCTCAGTACTATCAGGTACAGTTCACACAATTTGTTGTTGTGTAACTGTCTAAATTCTCTGGTTAACTCGCCCTTCTTTAGTCCAAATATTTTGTATAACACTTTATTTTCTAAATAAATACACAGATATAATTTCTAAACCATTGTTCATTCCTTAATGTAAGAGGTCACATTTAACATCTGTAAAGAATCATAGGAAGTATAATATGTTTGTAAATTCAGATTTTTAGTTTTGCATAATTATATATGAAATATATATCCTCAATCGATGTTGAAAGCAGTGGTTCGGTGGGTCCTTGAGTATAAATCTGAAGACAGGGAACGAGTATTGCTGGAACGAACAGAGGATTTAAATTGAAGGAGCTCGGAGATGTATGAACGACTATAATGTGAAATGATAAACTATTTTTAAAAAAGTCTTTAATCCAAAATTAAAGAAACACTTTTTCTTTCTACTAATGTTTGTAAATTTGACATTTTTATGTCATAAGTAATCCTAATGTTAAACTGTCCCTCAAAAAAATAAAAATAAAAGTTAAATAAAGTATCATTCATCTACCCAAACATATTGTAATTTTATCTTTAAAAAAATATTAGAAGGGGGAGGGGTTAAACCTCTCTCCAGCCCACAAAAAAAAAAAAAAAATTAAAGTATCACCCACCTACCCAAACATATTACCACTTTATTAAAAAAAAAAAAATTGGAGGGGGGAGATGATCCTCTCTTCAAAAAGAAAAATGTTGAAACAAAGTATCACACACGTACCCAAACATATTGCCATATTATCTTTAAAAAAAATTCTGAGGGGGTTAATCTCCTCTCCCCAAAAAAATAAACAAAGTATCATCTCCCTATTCAAACATATTGCCAAGAGAGGCTCCAAAGAAATTTGGTATCACCCAGTGATTTTCAAGATTCGTATATATGGTTTAATTGCTCAATATAGCTCTTACACGTTCAATATATTGACGAAACTCAATATTGACTGATTAAGGGGTCCTTTATTTATTTATTTATTTTGTTCCTCATCATTATTAGTTGCAAAACTGTTAATTATTATATCATTATTTTTTTTTTTAATTTATAAATAAATCATATTTCTAGGTGGTGTACATCAAAGAACGGGTTCACCACCGAAATACGATCGGTTCATTGCATAAGTTATACGATGAGGATATAGTTGTTCTGGAACCAAGAGATACGCGTTTGCCGTATATCAGAATTCAGAAAGAATCTATTCCAAAACACATAATGAAAAAAATACTATCATTTGACGTTTGGAATATATTATTCAAAGCGTCTATCACATCGTGGGTCAATCCCAATTATGCTGAAGGGTATGTTTATATGAATAAATATTTATATTTCTTATTTTTATTATTATTATTATTATTATTACATTTTTTTTTCAGAATATTTAAAAAAAAAATTGGTAAGAGATTCCATATTTCCACAGAGACAGCTGCTATTTTAGAAGAGCTCGGCCTGGATTGTAAACCAGTGCCTCATTTCAAAAAGTTGGTTCCTCCTCTTCCTTATGAAATACCGGAGGATGAATTGGTTTCGAGGCTAGATTTAAGGTAAGAGATTTTGCATTAATTATTGATCTTAAAATTATAATTATTTTTATAAGTTCAGATGATTTATGTTTTTTAAAAGACTAATTTATTGAGGGTGTACCAGTTAAAAAAACAGAAAACTCTTATGAATTTAATGCTTCACTAGTTGCACAGGCGGATCTAGGGGAGGACTTCTGGGCTGAAGGCCTCTCTCGTCAGTTAGTTTTTGGTCATCTATGGCGGATTGTGTGGAGTAACCTGGTCTAAAACCAAATTGGAGTGGGTCATGTTGATTGGTCTGTTCGAGGAAATTGGACACTTGGGATTGCACTACTCTTTCTAGGGGTTTTGAAAGGTTTGAGAGGATTGAGATTGGACGGAAATCTTCAGGGGAAGTAGGGTTAGAATTTTTATTTAAAGGATGGACGGTGGCTTTCTTCCAAGGGGTAGGAAACATGGAGTTCTGAAGGGAGAAATTATAAATGAAAAGAAGAACGGGGAGGGTTTCAGTTAGGCATAATTTGATTAATTTGGCTGGAATGCCATCTGGATCAATAGAATTCAAATGTGATTCCATCACAGTGGATATGAGGTCTGTGGGTGAAATATCCGAGAAATAAAAATCGTCTTCGTTAAACGATTTGGCCAGAGGAAAGGAAGATGTTAATGGTGTGGTGACAGAGAAAGTAGATATAAAATAGGAATTTAGATCATCAGAATATTGCTGAAACTGGGAATATTGCTAAGGAAGGTGATCTGGATGGTTCACAGAAGGAGAGTTTACGAAGGAGTAGCCATTTGGATTTGGAATCAGGAGCTGAAAAGAGTGATTCATGAAAATAGGTGGATTTGGCTCGTCGGATTCTGGTTTGTGTCAGGTTACGGAGAATTCTAAACGCTTGGTAGTCTTCAGCAAACCTGTTTCGTCTAAAGTGTCTACGGGCTGCATCACATCTCCTCTGAAGATCTTTGATTTGCTGACACATCCAGGGAGCGAACCGAATCTAATCACAAATTATTTTAAAAATAATAATTTGGAAATATCTAATAACCTTGAAAAACAAAAGTTACTTAGTACCATACAATTAGAAAATAAAATTGAACATTGTAACATTAAATATAATTCAATTACTTATATTAAAGATCTCACTAGTAAAATTCAAAGGACGTTCAAAGATTATGATCTATCTGAAATTAAATTAGGTAAAAAGCCTGTAAATAAAATTGAAAAATTGTATACCAATATCAGAGATATTATACCACGTGACATGAAAATCAACCTTATTTATAAAATAAAATGTAAAAATTGCACTAATAAATCTTATATAGGACAAACGGGACAATGGTTCGTAAAACGAATGAAACAACATGAACAAAATTGCAAGTCCAAATCAAGCAAATCAAACACATCAACCGGCCTTTCACAACATGCAACATATAACAAACACCAATTTGATTTTAAAAATGCCAAAATAATATACAAGGAAAGTAGTAACAATAAAAGAAAGATTATAGAGTCTATATATATTACTAAAAATTTACATAATTCAGTTAACAACCATACAGATGTGGACAATATAAATATTATCACTGTTTTCTTGGTTTTATCCGATTTTATTATTAGTAATTCAGGATTGTTTTTAAAAAATATTTTAGCATCTTCAATATCCTTATTTATTTTTGTATGTAAGAGATTTTTATTTTTATTTTTGTTTTTTTTCCCGTGTTCCATAAATTTTTTTTTTTTTTTTTTTTTTTTTTTTTTTTTTTTTTTGTGGCACAACATCCCGTTACCGAGACTGGGCCTCCTCCAAGAGCCTCCGCCAGTTGGCTCTGTCTTCTGCTGCAGCTCTCCAGTTCCGTACACCAAGCAGGGTTCTCGCATCATAGGCCACGTTGTCCAACCATCTCGTCCTCGGCCTTCCCACCCGTCTTACGAGGTGCAGCTCCTCCATCATTATTTTTTTTGGTATTTCAACGGTGCTCATTCTGGCCACATGCCCTGCCCACCTTAGTCTGGCCAGTTTAATATACGTGACTACGTCGATGTCTGCATAGAGAGAACTGAGCTCCCTATTTTTTCTTTTCCTCCAGACATCACCCTCCTTTACTGCACCATAAATCCTTCTGAGGACTCCTCGCTCAAACACACTCAGCTTCATCTCATCCTTTTTTGTCATCGTCCAAGCCTCTGAGCCATATGTCAAAATAGGCCGAACAAGGGTCTTGTATATGATCAGCTTGGTCTTTTTTGAGAGGTACCTACTTCTTAAGTGTCGGCCAAGTCCAAAGACACATCTATTGGCAGCCGTGATCCTTCTTTGTATTTCTTGAGCCATGTCATTTTTGCTATTAATTTCAGACCCAAGGTATATAAAACTTTTCACTCTCTCAAACTTAAAAGAACCTACCTCAAATGGAGAGTTCAGATCCACCTCACCACCAACTCTCATATACTTAGTTTTCCTCTCGTTGACTTCTAGACCAAGTGGTCTTGCAGCTGCTTCAAGGCCTATAAACGCTTCTCTGAGAGCCCGTTCAGACCTACCTATTATATCAATATCATCAGCAAAACCAAAAAGCTGTGTCAGGCGATTGAAGATTATATCGTTGGTCTGAATACCGGAGTCTTACAGCTTTCTCCTCTGCCAAGTTGAACAATAGACAAGCGAGGGCATCCCCTTGCCTAACCCCACTGCTCACTTTAAACTCTTCGGAGTCGTCAGAACCGACGCGTATTCTACATCTCGAGCTGTCCATGGTCATCTTGATTAGGCGTACGAGCTTCTGAGGGATGCTTAGCTCCTCCAAGGCACAGTATAGTTGCGTTCTATCAACGCTGTCGTATGCTGCTTTAAAGTCCAGGAATAAATGGTGGGTGACTACCTTACGCTCCATAGTCTTTTCCAGGATCATCCTCAGAGAGATCAGTTGATCAGTGGTTGAGCGTCCTCTTCGAAATCCAGCCTGATATTTCCCCAGTTCCTTTTCAGAATACGGGAGGATCCTCTCAAAAAGAATGTTAGAGAGCAGCTTATAAGCACACGAAAGGAGTGAGATTCCTCGATAGTTAGCGCATTCTGTTTGATCTCCTTTCTTATGTATTGGGCAGATAATGGCTGTTGCCCATTCCGTAGGCATAGCTTCCCTCTCCCAGATGGTCAGCATTAAATCATGCAGAGCTTTCTTGAGTTCTTCACCTCCACATTTCAACAGCTCTGACTGGATTCCGTCCGGGCCTGGCGCCTTTCCATTTTTCAATTTCCTCAGGGCGTTTTCCATTTCCTCCTCATCCGGGGGTTCAATAGAATTCAGGGAGTCTTCCTTCATTACACCTACTTCTCCAGGCACCGTTCCTCTGTTTAATGCGCCTTTAAAATGTTGTACCCATCTCCTTAGTACGTCATCTTTGTGGCTTAAAAGAGTTCCATTCGTGTCTTTGCATGCTGTCACTCTGGGTCTGAAAGCTGCCCTACCCTCGTTTATTCTCTGAAAGAACAGGCGACTTTCATTTTGGCCGCGCAATGCCTCTGTGTCCTCCATGTTCTTATTTTCCCAAGCTCTTCTCTTTCCGTGGAATAATCTCTTTTCTTCGCGTCTTTTTCTTCGATATGTTTCTTGGGAGAGCCTTGTGGGACGCTGAACCTTCTTTCTGTAGGCTTCATTTTTCACTTTTACTGCTTGAAGGCACTCAGCATCAAACCATGGGGGCCCTCTAGATTTAGTCTCGTAGCCAAGAGCTTCTTCTGCTGCCTGTTTCATTGCGTTGCTGCATCTCTTCCACTGTTCATCGACCATAGAGCTGTCATTAATTACTTCTTCATTAAGTTTCGTCTCCACAGCTTGTTGATACGAATATTGGTGGTCTGAGTCCTTAAGTTTAACCACATCAATCTTCTTCTTTGGTCATTGGTAGTGGTTTTTAATCAGCGAAATTCGTGATCTGACCTCAGCAATGCTCAAATAGTGATCCGTGTCCATATTTGCACCTCTATAAGATCTTGCATTTATCATGTTGGACTTGTGACGGGCACTAATGAGTACATGGTCTATCTGTGATGCTGTTTGTCCATTTGGAGAGATCCATGTTGCTTTGTGGATATTCTTTCGAGGAAAAAGAGTTGTTCCAACAACCAGTCGGTCTGTTACCGTAATTCAGTCTGGCTTCTTCTCTTTGAGGTTTCGTAATAAGGTACTTTAGGGGGGATGGGTTATCAGCCCACTGCCCCCGAGTCAGGTAGAGGGGCTGCCTCCTCCGAGCATCCTGACTAGCTCCCCCATCCGGGGCGGCTACCTAGGGAAGGTGACCCTAGGGTGTGTACTGTAGGTGACCTTTGTCTGTAGTGTTTAGGTGTTGTAGTGTGCTGTATAAAGTGTACTTGGTGTGTGAGTGTTCGTGTAAGTGTTCCCCCAACCTGGAGGGCCAGTGGCTGGTTGCGGTACAATGACCGGGCGATGGGACCGCCACCTCCCTACGCCAAGGTGTTCCATAAATTGGTTAATATTATTGTTTACCTTATTTCGTATTGCATTGTTATGGTTGTCAGATGTGTTTATCTAATAATGAGTTTGATGTCCGCTATAATGTTCATTATTTCTTTATCATGATTATTAGGTATAATATTAAATTTTTCACCCAGTGACAACACATTTATTATATTTATCAGTATATTTATATTCGTTGTAATTCAGTTAACAACCATACAGATGTGGACAATATAAATACTTTTTATGCAAATATAATTAATAAAATTCGTATATAATAATATAATAATCCACCAATGCAAATCATTAGAAGGAAAATCCCTCTCTTTTTGACTGTCTCCACCAGGTCGATATAAGTCAGTCCCTCCAGAAATGACGTAGGCGAAGCACCTATAAAAATTGACAAGTAATGTTCACTGAACTTATTAATTAGAACATTAAGGATGAACATATTAGGAGGACTCATCAAGGTAATAGGCATTTGTTTTTAATTGTTAGAGTTTTAATGGTTATAGTTACGTACATGTAAGGGTTTT